GCCACGAGACTGTGGCTTATTGGGTAAAGTTCTGGTGTGTCCGTGTCTAGCAGGGCTACATGGCTTCTCCTTGACTCTGCCCTTCTTTCTCTCAGCATTCAGTTTAGTCCCCTTCCCCAGCTCTGTTCCCCTACAGCTCTGCTATAGGCCCAGCAGTCCCTTTATTAACCAATGATATTCACATCATACAGAGGGGAACCGCTCATCACCTTTTCTTTATCATTTGGGGTGAGAACGCCCTGGAGGAGGAGAAACATGGGAGGAGAGGGTAGTAAGAAATAGTACAGATCTTTGAATCTTGTCTGTTCATTCTTCATGCCCATCACACAACCAGCTGAGCAAGCAAGCAGAATCCCAGGCTTGTCATTCACCCACTGCCAGCTTTCTTAGATCCTCGCCTCTAGCTCTCCAAACTTAAGGCTGAATCCCTTCACATCTTTCCCCTGTTGGCTTGGTTTCTAGGCTCTAGGGGTGGGGCACTATGGTCTTTTGGGAACACCTTAGACCCTCCCACGTGCTTTTGTCTCCTGGCCATTTGACAAAACCCCGGCCCCGGAAAAACTCTCTGAGTGCTTTCCTTGCCTGCATCTGGGCAGGTGAGCCCTGGCCACAGACATCATTCAGCAAGACAGGCTAGGACACAGCGCACTGGCCACTCTCAGGCCCTATTGGGTCATCAGATCCTGCAAGCTAGCAAGGATCTTGTGGGCAAGTTGCTTGCCGCTCTGAATGGTTGTTCTCCCTCCTTCCAACTCCTCACCCCCTCTTCTTCACTCTCAGCAGACCTCGCCTCCCACTTTGAAGAGAAAAATAGAAGTTCAAGATGAAATCTCCCTTAGCATCCCACTGCAAAACCTACATCCACATGTGCACCCATTCTATCCAGGCTCTGGCTTTGGGGCTCTATTGACGTCTTCCCTCCCCCTCTCTTAGACCAGCCCTCCACCCACACCCCATCCCTCCCTCCCACCTGCCCTTGAACATCACTTCCCAGTTCCTTCCCCAGCTTTTCCACCTAAAAAAACGCCCCCCCCCCGCAGCTCTCTCCCGAGTCTGCATCAGTTTTTAAACCAACTTAGGTCTCTCCCAACTCAAAACACACCTCCTCAAATCACACACACACACACACACACTTCTTTTCTCCACTCCACACGAAACTTCCCAAGAGCCAAGCAGCTCCACCATCCTCCCTGCTCTGCATGCAGCACTCCTGAGTCAATCTTCCATGGTGGTACTCTCGCCAAGCGGGATTCAGGTCCATCTCCTCTGGCATCTCAGAACACTCCCCACCAAACGACGTTGAAACTCCTCGTTCAGCTCCCTCCCAGGAGCCCACACCCTCTGGCTTGTTTCTTCAGCTTCAGCAGGCTTGTCTTTTGAACAGCTCCAACCTGTGGACATGCCTCAAAACCACCTCTGGTAGCACCTCCTTTCTTGCCTTCTTTCTCTTTAAAAAACTTACCTGATATGATGGAAATGGATATTATGGATATTATGGAAAGTCTTGCAGATGCCATAGCTTCATTCAACCCTATGAATCTTTTTTTTTTTTTTGATTTTTCGAGACAGGGTTTCTCCGTAGCTTTTGGTTCCTGTCCTGGAACTAGCTCTTCTAGACCAGGCTGGCCTCGAACTCATAGAGATCCGCCTGCCTCTGCCTCCCGAGTGCTGGGATTAAAGGTGTGCGTCACCACCGCCCAGCCCTATGAATCATTTTAATAGAATTTTTATTGTAGCAGGTGTTGCTCTTGTTCGTGGTCTTGCCTTATTTGTTTCGGCCTACTTATGTAAGATTATAAGTCAGATAGAGAGAAAAAAAAGGCTGTATATACTGTGAGGCTGCATAACCTTTGAAAAAATTAAATTTTGTATAGAAAAAAAGGGGATCTGTTGCAGAATATCCCAATGGCCTGGTGCCAAAGGGATAGCAAGTAACCTCCACTAAGTCATGAAACCCAGCTGGGTTATACCTGGCCTGGCTCCGGAGTTTTCACACAGCCCCTTGGCCTTCTTTTGAGTTACTTCTGTTGTCCTATGGGAATCTTGACTGGGAGAGTCCCGTGACTACAAAGCCTATGCAACACTTAGTTCAGGGGAAACCTGGAAAGCCGTGGTACCTCACGAATCAGGTATTTGCACCTGGTATTGTATTGTCAGAAACTTCTTTCAGTTTGTTTTGAGATACGGAAATCTTCTAACTAAAGTGTAAATATAAGCAAAAATAAAGATGCTGGGAGGTGAAGGCAAGGTGCTTCAGTTCACCGAGACTGAGCCCCCTGCAGCCGCAGAGCTACGTTCATTCTCAAGTGTCTCTGAGTCTTCATTTCTCAGACCCGCATGAACCCACACACCCGCACTGAAATATTCATGACAATCACTTTCTCTGGGAATCTTTCTACCTCTCCTAAGAAGAGAGGCATCTCTCCTTCCTGCTATTTTACAGTAATTGCTGAGGTACTCCATTCTATCATTAAGAGGCTTTCTAAACATTTCTCCTTAGAACTCTATCCCCCCTCATGAGGTAGATAGGGTAATTGTCTCCACTTCTTGGTGGTACAGAGAAGTTATAAAACTGGCCAAGATCACTTAAGTAAGAAGCCAAAATTTAAACCTAGATAGGGTGACTTCAGTGTGGCTTTCAAATACTATACCATTCCCCCAAGAAAAGGCTATCCTGCTCTTCAGTGTATGCTATGGTTATTTGTTTAGCATGTGTCTGCCTCGCTCGCCTTGCAAGCTCTGCAGGAGTACAGACAATTTGGTCTCCAATAGCAGGTTTTCAATAAACATTTGCTCAGTGTCTGAATAGATTAGTCTGCTTCCTCACGCACAGCATTCACTCGGGCCACCTGGTCCTCTGTGTTTCTCCCTAGAATGCGCCTTTGTTGCTTTTCTTGTTCCTATGACCAAATCTCTGGCAAGAAGCAACTTAAATCGGAAAGCTTTAGTCTGGCTCACAGTTCACAGGACTCCACCCATCGCAGCAGGAAATGGTAAGGCGGCAGGAACTTCAGCTACAGGTCAGCAGGCCAGGAAGCAGAGAAAGAAAAATGCAGGCAGGCCTTTGTTAGGCTTCCAGGCTAGCTGCCCTACGCCTTACCAGACACGCCCATGCGAGTATCTCTTAGGCGATTCTAAAGTCCAGTCACCACTGAAGATTAATCATCCTACATGCTTATGTGGATCCTAAATTTGGGTGGAAATGGATGTCTACACATATAACATTCCTAGAGTAAAAGCTATCAGCAGATGTCCAGCCCGTCCATAAAATTAAAAACGGCTGTCTCAACTATGCCCAAGACACTCCCATTCTCTCCTTGTCAATGTCCCCTCATCAAATACAGTAGCCCACATTGGGGCTCTTTGTTTATTTGTTTGAGACAAGGAATCTCCATGTAACCCTGGCTGTCCTGGAACTGGCTATGTAGACCAGGCTGGCCTCAAACTCAGAGATCTGCCTCCCAAGTGCTAAAATTAAAGGCATGGTTCACCCACTAGCACCTGTTTTTTGTTTGTTTTTGTTTTCGTTTTTTTGTTTTTGGGGTTTTGTTTTGTTTTGGTTTTTGGTTTTTCAAGACAGGGTTTCTCTGTAGCTTTGGAGACATTCTGGAACTCACTTTGTAGACCAGGCTGGCCTCAAACTCACAGAGATCCGCCTGTCTCTGCCTCCGAGCACTAGGATTAAAGGCATGGGCACCACACCTGGTTTTATATTCTCCTTGGAGCATGTCAGAACTCTGCGGGGAGAATGGTACTATAAGCCTGCTTCTCCATCCTCTGGTGTTCTGGACCTTTGCAGTACAGAGCTCTGCTTGGGGTTCCCTTACCAAACACCAAAGGTGGATTCCCACATTCTGATTCAGGCAGTAACTCCAGTTTATCCTCTCCTTGGTGTGCAAAAGTTTCTGCTGTCTCTGGGTAGTGGTGGCACTCTCCTTTAATCCCAGCACTAGGCAGGCAGAGAGGCCGGTGGATTTCTGTGAGTTCAAAGCCAGCCTGTCTATAGAGCAAGTTCCAGGACAGGCGCTAAAGCTACAGAGAAACCCTGTTTCAAAAAAAAAAAAAAAAACCCACAACAACAAAAGTTTCTTGAGTCTAAACTCATAGTCTCTTTGGAGTTAGGTGCCCCTCCTCCAAGCTTCCATGGGCTCAGCCTTCTCTCCACAAGACGCACCAGACATCTGTAATTGTCCGTGATTCACTGTATCTTCCGACTGGGTGATCTTTGAGGTCAACTCCTTGTTTTGTTTCTCTTTACAAGTCCCCAGCATAGCTGGCTCCTAGCCTAGCATATGGGGGTCAGGTAAGGATTTACTTAGTGATTCAACACACTAATGACAGCTGATGCCGGCTTCATGGGTCTAAACACTATGTGAAATGAATTAGTAATTAGAAGCTGGAGCCAGTGATCAGGTAATTCGAAGATGAATAAAGATGTCACAGGTATGCCAAGCGGTGGTGGCACATGCCTTTAATCTCAGCAGAGACAGGAGGATCTCTGTGAGTTCAAGGCCAGCGTGGTCAACAGAAAGAGTTCCAGGACATGCTCCAAAAAGCTATAGAGAAGCCCTGTCTAAAAAAAAAAGAAAGAAAGAAAGAAAAAAGGAAGGAGGGAAGAAAGGAAGGAAGGAAGGAAGAAGGAAGGAGAGAGAGAGAGAAAGAAAGAAAGAAAGAAAGAAAGAAAGAAAGAAAGAAAGAAAGAAAGAAAGAAAGAAAGAAAGAAAGAAAAGGAAAAAAGAAAATATGTCGCAGGTAACAAAAGACCAGGACAGCAACCCCTTCAAGGAGTAAACCAGACTTAAGATGAAGAAGCCCTCTTTAGCATGGCCGTCCTGAGGGCGGGATCAGATCAGGCCACGCCTTCGAGCCAATGGCAGAGCTGATTTGCCTTCGTGGCTCCGCCCTCTAGAACGGGATGGCCCACTCCAGCTGCAAGACTACACTTCCCAGCGCGCCTCCCGGCTGGGTGACGCAAAACCGGAAGTGAGGAACATGAGGTCCTAGGGCGCGAGGGAAGAGGCTGGCGGGGGGCGAGGGGGCGTGCACGTGAATAGGCTGGCCGGATCTCTGGCATGGCCGAGGCCAGGAAGCGGCGGGAGCTGCTTCCCCTCATCTACAATCATCTGCTGCAGGCTGGTTACGTCCGCGCGGCGCGGGAAGTGAAGGAGCAGAGCGGCCAGGTAAGCGTCGGAGGACCGAGTGCAAGACCTAGAGAACTGTAGCCCGCGCCCCTCCCTGGAGGCTCGGCCAGCGCGGGTCTGAAATGCGGGCCAGGGGTACAGGAGGAGCTTTAAGCTCAGCCTTACCCCCCTGCGATTTCCAGCCTCTTCCCGGGGCTCAGTTTTCTCATCGGTGCAGTGGGCGGGCCGGAACCTCTGATCCGAGTCTTTCAGCTTTGTAATTCCCGCCCTGGTTCCCGGTAGCCGCAAGTTTGTTTCCCTAGTCTCAGGCCACGTGGCTCTATGCAAGTTCTCCAAGGGCACCCAACTAGCAGCTGGTCTCGGGGTGGATTGTCACCACTCTTGTTGGGAACACCGAGAGGAAGGTCCCCTTCGTTGACGATCTGGATTCTGCAGATCGTGCAGGCCCCTTGTCGATTATGACAAGACTCGAACTCGTGGTGCAGTGATTTCAAAGTTCTTATACTTGGCAACTTTTAATTTGTCTCTGAGGTGCAGATAATGAAATGGGTAACGCCAGTCTCAGGCCCCTCTGCCTATTTCACAGCCTAGTAGTGGACACAAAAGAATACAGTTAACATTGTCTTAAGCTGTAGAATGGGAGATTTGAGATGCTAAAACATCTGGCATCTCAAATCTCCGGAATCTGGGTGAGGACTATCCAGGACTGCTTCCCTGAGGATGTAGTAGTTGGTTTGAGAGCTCCAGGGAGTTGGATAGTTAGAGGTGCTGATGTCTGGAGGTTGGAGTGGAACTTCTGAGTGTCATAGCCTCCAGAGAGTTTGCTGTGTTTAAAGTTTGAAATACACGACTGTGGAGTCTCCCAGAAAGATGGAGGCAAAGCAGACAGGCTGGAATGATCCATGGCTAATCTTCCAGAAGAACAGTGGTGAGATGTATATTGACAGAGTTAGTCAATACCACTTTGGCTACAGTGAAAACTTAAGGGCCACTGGGTGTGGTGGTGCATGCCTTTAATCTTAGCACTCTAGAGGCAGAGGTAAGTGCATCTGTTGTGAGTTCAAGGCTAGCCTGGTCTGCCTAGTGAGTTCAAGGCCAAGAAAGGGCTATGTCGTTAGACCCCCGTCTCAGAAACAACTCAAAACTGAAGGTTGTTGGGCCCTAAGATGTTATCTGTGGCTTTCCTAACCTCCCTGTACCTCGGTTCCCTTCCCATCTGTACTCCAACCATATAACTTAATAGCTGGGGGGAGCGGGACATAGTTCCCATCCTCGTGGTTTGTGTGCCCAAGCAAGGGTGTGTCCTGCTCTCACAGAGCAGACACATAAAAATCAGCTTGTGAGCTAGCCTGTCTAGATTGTGGCAGGTGCTGGCCACAATGAGGCGAGCAAGGGGGATATGGAATGTCAGACTCCAATTACAACTAAGGTGGTCAGAGAAGTCTTATGGAGAAGATGACCTTGAAGTAGAGTCTAGAAGGAAAAGTTGAGCTGTGTGGTTGACAAGAGAGAGAACATTTTAGTAACAAGAATGGCAAAACCCTGTTAGGAACTGGTGGCCCGACTTACTTTATTATGACACTTTATGTGACTGGGGTGGGGCAGAATGAAGCTGGCTGACTAGATGGTCCCCTTCAGACTGACAACAGCCCTTTCCATCATACATTGACTACGCTGCGGAGAAGGATCTTGGAGTTAGCAAGGATGAGTTCAGCCAGTGAGTAGGAGCTCTTCCTGACCTTGGGCCAATCTATTTGGTGCTGGCTTGTTTTTTTCCCCCTGTGTGTGGCTCTTTTAACTCCCGTTGGAGCACTTTGGCTGTCCAGTCTTGATGTTCACACAGTGTGTTTTCTGCCTGGGCCTGGTAATTGTTTTTGTTTTAACTAAGGCCTTTGCATCCACCAGATGGTGCACGCCTTTAATCTCAGGAGGCAGAGGCAGGCAGATCTCTGTAAATTCAAGACCAGCGTAGTCTATAGAGCGAGTTCCAGGACAGCCAGGGCAGTTACACAGAGAAAACATGTCTTTAAAAAAAAGAAAAAGAAAGAAAAAGAAAAATGGCCCTTGCACTTTTTGGGCTCAGTGTCTTTCCAGGCATCCAGTAGGCTCCAGTATGTCACCTGACGCCTTCAGGATTTGGGCTATCTTGTGTTTGGGGGAGACTGACTAGCCAGGCCTTTGCAAACCATCTAAGAGGTTAGTAAGGAAAGCTCTGCCATACGGTTTCCATCCCTGGCTGTGCTAGGGATGTTGGGTCATGCTGGTTTGGACTGTTCACGTGCCCACCTCTCAAAGGTACCTCTTACTTACCATTGTATTATATTGAAAGGTTTGTAACTGGAACTGATTGTCCTTCTTGACTCTGCTGGTAATGCCAAGTGGATACCCAAGAGCAAACAGAGCATATTCTGAAACATCTGTTGCAAGCCCAGGGAGGAGACATTCCTATTGGGCTGGGTACTTGCTGAAACTCTCTACTTATTATTTCTCTACAGAAGAGTTTCCTGACTCAGCCCGTCACTCTTCTGGACATCTATACACACTGGCAACAGTAAGTCTGGTGGAATGGAAGGGATGGAACAGGGTTACCCGAACCAATCATCTTTGCCACCAGCAAATATACTAACGTGGCTTAAGATATGGCCTGAGAGCCCACTGTGAACATACTTGTCACTTTCAGAAGGCAGGTTACATGTCTGGGTGTTTCTCTATATAGCTTATCACAGGGGGAAACAATCAGAGCTGGAGCTCACCTTTCTTTTTCTTTTTTCCTTTTTTTTTTTTTTTTTAATTGTTTTGTTTTGTTTTTGAGACAGTAGCTCACTCTGTAGACCAGGCTGACCTCCAGTTCTGGGACTAAAGGAACGCCCGATCACACTCAATGAAAGCTGAATCTCTTAAAAATAAAAGGTGGCCCACACCTTTAATCTCAGCACGCTAGGGAGGCAGAAGCAAGAAGATCTCTGGGTTCAAAAAAGAATTAATACAGCTGGTTTCTTCTTTTTTGTTTTGTTTTATTTTCATTTGTTTGTTTGTTTTGGCTTTTAGGGTTTTGTTTGTTTGTTTGTTTTTTGAGACAGGGCTTCTCTGTAACCCTGACTGTCCTGGAATTCGATCTGTAGACCAGGTTGGCCTCAAGTTCAGAGATCCACCTGCCTCTGCCTTCCGAGGGCTGGGATTAAAGGCCTGGGCCACCTCTCCCTGGCTGGTTTCTTTCTTCTCACTCATACTGTGATCAAGGAGGCAGGTGGGCAGGTCAAAGGTGGCACTCGTGTTAATAAGGGCAAGTGAAGGCAGGAGCCTGGCACTGGACACGAGCACTTTTCCAAGCTACTGAAAGGTGAGGTTGGTAGTGACTGTTCCCTTATGAAACTCAGAAGGTAGGGGATGCCAGGCCCTGGGGGAGAGCTAAGGTCACCCTCCCCTCCGTGCTTAATCCTCCTCTGCCACTTGATGGACGCAGGGCATGCGCCCTTGCCCTCTCTGTCTTGCCCAGGTGTGTGGGTGTTGCTTACTTTACTTCCTTCCCCGGCAAACTATGTCTGAGCTGTGCCACACTCTTATTTCCTGCCTCTGGCTCCCTCTGTGGGTGAGGGGTACAGAGTGGACCAGAGAGCTCACCCACCAAGCCAGCCTTGACCAGTGGTTAGGCTATAAAATCAGGCCTAGAAATGAGCTCAAATGAATGGCCTTGAGCAACTTTGGGACCTCCTAGAATATCTTCATCTCTGAAGAGAACTCTGAAGAGAACGTTACTGTCTCATTGCATTGTGAAGCTCCAACGTAGTCGTCTGTTAATAAAATCCTGAAACTGGCCAATGAAAACCCTGCCCTAGTTTGCTTCTCTGATACTATTCTTGATACAGCGGAAAACAACCAAGAAGAAGGTTAAAGCTCTGTCCTTGTGAAACCCGAATTCTGTTGGAAGGAGAAGGGTGAAACAAACTGATACATGTAACAAAAGCAGCTTCCTGAGGAGTGTCCTTCCTAGGAAGAAGGGACCTTGGCAGCATATCTCAAACTGGCAGAGCAGCATCAAACCCAGCTGGGAAGAAAAGGGGTTAGACCGTGGCTTCCTGCAGGTGGGAGAGTGGGGTCAAAATGGGGGATTAAGCTGCCTGAGTAAAGATTTACATCTTACATACACACTCCCCACCTCACCCCACTTCCTCCTTGCCCCAGGCCAGTTCCGTCATGAATGCTTTCTCCGGGCATCTGTCAGGCACTGGGGGACTAGAGTGAGCTGCTGTCCTCCTCTCTGGGGCCTGTTTGTGCAGCGTAGGGGACTCATCCAGGAAGCAGTTGGCAGAAGGCTGAGAAGGAAGGAAACTGAATGGCAGGGCAGAGTACTGTGAGGGAGGGGTGTCAGCAAAGATGCTTTACGCCAAACTCAAGTTCAGGAAGGGGAGAACAAGGACCCCAGCATGAGAGGAGGTCCCAGTTCTAGGGTGAGGAGAACCTGGATGGTTCTGTCCAGTGCCCATGGACACTGCGAATGGGTGCGGATGCAGAGCATGGATGAGTCCACACTGTATTGGGGTCACCATTTAAACTGTACTGTGTGCACATGTCCTGTGAAGGCTGAGGAGATGAGCAGTCTGACCCCCCCTCCCCCGAGAGCTCATGAATATGTCCCCCGTCTCCCCTGTCCTGCAGGACCTCAGAGCTTGGCCAGAAGCAGAAGGCAAAGGACGATGCTGCGCTGCAAGCCAAGAAGTCCCGGGTGTCAGACCCCATTAGCAGCTCGGAGAGCTCGGAGGAGGAAGGAGAGGAGGCAGAAACCGAAACTGCCAATGCCAGTAAGAACTCCCCTTGCCGGGCGGTGTGTGGAGTTGGGGCCATCGCCAGGGACAGCTGTGGGATGTCATTCTGCTCCACAGCAGTCTCCCCCTCTGAATCAACCTTTAGCGTAAGCCAGAAGAGGTGGGGCTTTTCAGAGGGAGGTTAGGAAGTACCAGAGAGCCCTTCCTGTGTAGCAGACGTTGTGACCCCAAACTCTGAGGGTTTAAGGAGAATCATAAGATCCCAGAAGGCTGGGTGTGGTGGTACACACATTTATCTCCAGCACAGAGATAAATGAATCTCTGTGAGTTTGAGGTCAGGCTGGTCTACATAGTAAATTCCAATCTAATAAGAACTATGACCCTGTCTCAAAAAAAAAAAAAAAATTGAGGGCCCACACAGCTGTCCAGGTCACTCACCAAGGGCTGTTTTCAATGCTACTGCTAAAGACAGGAAGGAAACCACATTTGTACAAGTGTTGGGACCACTTCAGAAGGTGTTGGTGGTCCCATTTGTGAGTGGCCTTGGGGCTGCTTCAAGAGTTGTTGGTTGTTTTAGTTACTGTTGCGTTGAAGAGACACCATGAGCAAGGCAGTTTATATAAAAGGAAGCATTTCATTAGGGGACTTTTGCTTACAATTTCAGAGGGTTAGTCCATGATCATTGTGGTGGCAGGTACATCCTGCTATGTAGGCAGCTGGCAGAGAGCCAGAGACGGGTTGGTGTGGGCTTTTGAAACCTCACCCACACGACACACCTCCAATACAGCCATACCTCCTTATCTTTGCCAAACAATCCACCAGTGGGGAACCAAACATTCAGTTATGTTTCCATTCAGACCTCACTGGTCTTCCCCATTTGGCAGTATGTGATTGATAGGCCCCATAGCAGAGTGGCCCATGTGATAGGTCCCATAGCAAAGCGGCCTGTGTGATAAGCCCCATAGCAGAGTGGCCCTAATGCAGTCTCTTTGGCCTCTTCTCTCCTGGCAGCAGCTATTGCTGTGTCTCCATGTCTCGAAGGCATCATATTGCTTACATAGAGAACAGTTTCCTGATTTTTAGGTAGGTTTTCTGATTATAAAAGAAATACAGGGTTCATTATAAAATGTTCATTACAGAACATTTGAAAATTTGCTTCAAGAGAAGGCAGGGGAGAAATCGCCCACATTCTTGCCACCTACTATTCTTGCAGTCTTGTCTTTTGTTTGTTTATTTTTCCTGTGTATACTGTGCCAGATGTTTGAGAGGATGTTGAATATATATTTTATATCTTAATCTTAAATTATAAATACAAAGCAGGTCCAATTTGTATATAAAAAGCATACAGAAGAAAAACACGGGAATTCCTGTTCTCATCCCCATCACGTCTTACCCATGTCCCTTGATGGGCAGGCAGCCTGTAAGCTTCTTCCAGTCAGACATGTGCCCACCTATGTGCTTGTGGACAGGCCTACATACTGCTTCAAATGTTTGTACTGACAAGGTATTTGATAGTAATCAACTTTTAAAAAATATCTTATTTATTTGACAATTTCATAAATGTGTTGGGGGAGGCCACTTGTTAGCTCCCTGCTGCTCAGCCCCAAAATAATCCCACAAAACTATATTATTTAAATCACTTCTTGGTCCATTAGCTCTAGCTTTTTATTGGCTAACTCTTACATCTTAATTTAACCCATTTCTATTTATCTGTGTATTGCCACGTTGCTGTGGCTTACCAGCTAAAGTTCCAGTGTTTGTCTCTGGCGGAGCTTCATGGCTTCTCTCTGACTCTGCCTTCTTCCTCCCAGCATTCAGTTTAGTTTTTCCCCACCCACCTCTATTCCCTGTGCAGGCCCAAAACAGTTTCTTTATTAACCAATGATGTTCACATCATACAGGGGGAATCCCACATCAAATGTGTACAGTGTGACTCCCCCAGGACAGCCCTGGTGTGTTCTCCCACCTTAATATCCCTTTTTCATGTTTGTTTTTTGTTGTGATCAGTCCACTGAGTCCAGTTAGTGCTGCCTGCTAGAATGTTGGCTTCGGTGAGTTCATGAGAATGACCTTGTCATGTTCTTAAGACAGCATTTCACCAGCTCTTGCATTCATTCTACCTGCTCTTCTGTAATGTTCCCTGAGCCTTGTTGGCTTGATTTGTGTCCCATTTAGGATGGAGGGCTCAGTGGGTACTTTCTCAACCATGACAAGTTATGGGTCTCTGCATTGCTACCCACTGCAGAAAGGTGAATACGTACACACACGGGAGCAATTTGACATCAACAGTAGTAGGTCCTGTCCCATGTGTGCCACCCCCACCCCCACGCTACAATCTCTTGAGCCAGTAATCAATTTTTAGAACCCTGAATTTTAAGCCAGATGTGGTGGCACATGGCTGTAATGCTAGTACTCAGAAAGCTGAGGCAGGATGTTCCTCCGTTTGAGGTCAGTCCGGACTACATAGCAAGACCTTGTCTCAAGAACTAAGCAAAAATAACCGAAACAAAAATGCAACATGTAAAAAGTCAATTACAAGTCCATCACCAGAGTCCTCTCTGAAGTATTTGTGGGTAGCATGACAGGGTGTCAAGCATTTTCTTCAAAATAACCTGTGATCTGAAGGGGAGAACGAGGCAGTATGATTGGCCACGAGTTGATGCGAAGTTACAGTTAATGCGGGAGCTAGGTACCTCTTCTGTGCTGCTGGGTTTTTGAAAACTTGGCACAAGTGCAGAAAGGGAGCATTGAAGTCCCAGGAAAGAATTCAGTCCTGCTGTTTATTTCAACAATTGTCCATTTAATGATAACTTCCCCTGAATACCAAGATCTACAGCGACCGTTCCCTAAAACAATCCATAATAGTCTGAATCTCAACCTCTCCAACGAGGCCCAGCACCATTTCCACCAAGAAACCACTTGACTTCCACATAGCTTTCTCTGTCACCTGAGGCCGGCTCCTGATCCCCTTCCCGCCTGCTGGTAACTGTCAGGACTGAGGGGTAATAGGTGGTAGGAATGTAAGCCTGTCCTTTCACTCTGGGGGCCTCCGAGTCCCTCAGGGATGCAGACATGGTCAGCAAACTGATGCGACACAAAGCTCTTCCCCGAGGCCCTGGGCTAGGCCTCAGATCCTCACGCTAGCGCCAAGCGGCCAGTACCAGTAGGACTGTGAGACCAGGTGAACTCTGCCTGCCATTCTCAGATGAGAGGAGCCCGCCTTCCGCACGGTGTTTGTGTCTTTCAGCCCCAAGACCGATATCTGTCAATTCCTCGGCCACGGCTGCAGAGTTACCATCAAGCATGAAGGAAAAGGCCCAGGTGAGTATTTCCGAGTTACGTATTACCGTGGGAGTTATATCCAGTGAACGTAGTCTCCTGTGTTGGAATATGGTTGTAAGGCTCCATCGGGTGCTTTTTCTGTGAAATAGAAGTGTCACTCATTACCTCAAACTCCTTGGCACATGGGTGGTTCCCTTCCTCTCCCCCACACTCACCTGCTCACTAAGTACCCCTGTGTTTATGCACTCTGCAGAGTCTCTGGATCAGAAAGTACTTAGAAAATGTCATTTGTCGGTAATCTGTAAACCCCACTGCAGATTCATAAATGGTTGTGTCACCCAAACCAGAACATAGCAGTAATATCTAAAAGTAACGATGAAATAATGCTACCACAATGAACTATTGCTTAATGCAGAGCAGGAACCACTGTGACCTAGGAACGGTAATGCACTCAGTGCCTGAGAAAGGTGTCTTCCTTCGTCCTCTGTAAAGAAGAGGTGACATGCCAGTTAGCAGTTACAGGCCAGAGGTGACTGCCCAGAGGCTAGAGAGGGACATAGGAAGTGGCCGTGTTGGGCCCACGGTTGGGGGGGGGGGCTCTTGTTTCTCTGATAACAGAGTTTATCTCTTGAACTCTGTAGGCAAAGACCAAGATGACGAACTCTGTGCTGCACCCCGCATCAGGAAAGGCAGTGGTCCACCTGCTCTCTGGGAAGTTACCCAAGAAGTCAGCAGAGCCCTCGGTAAACACTGTCTTGGCCTCGGAAACCGAGGAGGAGGGCAGCGTTAAAGCCCACGGAGCCACTACCAAGCCTGGTAAGAGGCCCCAGAGTCGGAGACAGGGAGGCAGGCCTAAGCACTGCCAAGCTATTTGAGACATGCTGAACACAGGTTTGTCTCTGACAGTCAGGGTCCTGCACAGAGCCATTTCCCCCTTCCCTGACCTCCTGAGTCAGCTGTCTAGACAAGACTTGGGCTTTTCAGAGGGCAGCATTTCCTGGCTTCTCTCTTGGGTGGGTTATGGGACCACTGTGCCCCCTTGGACAATAAATGGAAAGGCATAGGTCTGTCTTCATTTCTTAGGCAGAATAGACACCCAGCCTGTCCCCCATGCGTGATGGCAAAGAGTGACTTGCTTAATCTTCAGATGCTGCTAGCCTTACCAAGGCCTCAGAGATACACAGAAATGGGTAGCGAGGGTCCCCACCCCAGTTGGGGGGCTTTGGTTCAAGGCAGACACCTAATCCAGTACAGGTTTGAGAAGGAGTTCTTGGCACCTCAATTTGACTAGCAATTGGCATGGGGGCTCTGGGAAGGGAGGTGATGTGGAAAGGTACTCAGACCCTTGTGTCCACCCTCAGGGATATTGTCAGCCAGCCAAGTCAGCAGCTCCAGTGAAGACACCTCGAGCTCCAGTGATGAGACAGATGTAGAGGTAACTGCCACCCGTCCCCAGGCCTCTGGCCCTCCCAGAAGCCTTGCTAGTGTTTGGCTCCTCAGCAGCTGGAAAGGTGATGGCCAAGGCTTGGTAGCTGTGGAACGAAGAGCACAGTGTTGCTCAGGACGTGCAGAGCATCGGGGTCCAGCGTTAGGAGGGGGAGACACAGGAGCAGAGACCCTGAGTAGGAGTATAACTGTGGTGTGGTCAGTGGTGAGGCTACCTAGAGGACTCTCAGCCTAATGGTGAATGTGGGTGCTGGGCTAGGATTGGGCAGGACCCTTGGTCTGCAGCCTTGTCTCTGAATTTTGAGCACTTAACACCAGACCTTGAGAATACAAAGTGAGCCAGGTAGGCAGAGCTCCTGGCTTCATGGGGACCATTGAATATTTAACTGCAGCGGGGAAGGAAAACCTGGTGAGCAGAGCCCACTAGAGGGCTGTGATAATAGTAACAAGGTGCCAATGGCAGAAACCAAGGTGTCCCATTTTAGAAGTATGGTTAGCAGGTACGGCCAAGCCACAGCTCAACAAAGCCATACGCTTATGTAAAACATGAGGGTGTTTTATTTATTTCAGTTGTTGGATCCTGGGCATGAACTTTGTAAACTACAGTGTTGTCACCTAATGTCAAAAGGTGAGACAGGTGAGAGGGAGTGCCTGCAGGAGCCAGGTGCCTAGGGTGCCGCCCCACCAACCCTGTCTAGCCAGGACGTGACCACTCCTTGCTGTTGGACCCCGAGTATAATAATATATAAGGACACCTGGATCCCTTCACTCCGGATCTGCCACCTAAATATAGTGCATTGGTGGGCCAGAAGCCACTGTCCTCTGGCGGCAGTGAGGTATTTAGGAAGAACCTGGTACTGAAGGGTCGTATTGGGCATGAGATGCAGAAGTAGAGCAGAGGCTGACTGACCTACCAGCTACTTTAGTTGTGTCGGGATTTTGGAAGACTAAAGAATGTTCAGGAAGAGAAGCTCGTGCCAGTGCAGATACCAGGCACCTCTCCCTGGGTAGCTACTACAGACAAATGCTTTTTAGTTTGTAGTTCAGGATGGGCCTTATTGTGTGTCAGTGGATAGATAGGCATGGGGGCCAAGTTCTGCCCCAAGGTAGCTAAGGGCCTTATAAGCCTTGTGCTGCCCTTGAACATCTGTGCCTTTTGGGAAAAGGGTGTAAGATTCTGCCTGCCTTTGGGTGAGCATGTGTGTTTAGCAAGAGGCTTGTATTGATTAATTTTCTTTTGCTGAGAATGGTGCCATAGGCTCATCCATTTGAATGCTTGGTCACCAGGGAGTGGAACTGTTTGAAAGAATTATAAGGATTCGGTGTGCCTTTGTTGGAGGAATTGTGTCACTGCTAAGAGTGGGCTTTGAGATTTCAGAAATTTCAGAAATCCATGCCAGACCCCATTTTTCTGCCTGTGGATCAGGATGTAGCTCTGAACTACTCCAGTACCATGCCTGCCTGCGTGCCTCCATGCTCCCTGCCTTGATGATAAGGGACTAAACCTCCTTGTCTTAGGGTTTCTATTGCTGTGAAGGGACATCATGACCACAGCAACTCTTATAAAAGAAAACATTTAACTGGGGTGGCTTACAGCTTCAGAGGGTTGGTTTATAATCATCATGGTGCGACATGGTGGCGTGCAGGCAGATGTGGTGCTGGAGAAGTAGTTGAGTGTCTACATCTTGACTTGCAGGCAACAGGAAGTGGTCTGAGACATTGGGTGTGGCTTGAGCAGATTTGGGACCTCAAAGCCTGCCACCAGGGTGACCCACCCCACTTCTTCCAACAAAGCCACACCTCTTAATAGTGCCACTCCCTATGAATTTATGGGGACCAATTACACCCAAACTACCACACTCTGAAACTGTAAGTTAGCCCCTAATTAAATGCTTTCTCTTACAAATGTTACCTTGGTCGTGCTGTCTTTACAGCAATAGAACACTGACTGAGACACCAAGGCAAGTTTTACGAGTCTAATTAGGGTTTCATAAGGCTAGAGTCCATGATGGTGAAGCAAAGGCATGGCAGCAGGAACTGGGGGCTCACAAGCAGGAGGTAGAGAGAACACTGGGAACAGCGTGAGTCTTTAGAAACATAAGCCTACCTCTACCCTTCTCAAACAGCTCTACCTTGTGGGAACCAAGCGTTCAAACAGGAGCCTAAGGTTGCCTTTCTTATTCACATTGCCTGATGAGGTTGACACCCCTTTGACAGCAAAGGGGAAATGGTTCTTCATTTGCTGTTTCTGTTTCCTGCTTTTAGGTGAAGCCTTCAGTAAAACCAGCCCAGACCAAAGCTTCCTCAGCCCCTGCCAAGGAGTCTCCAGCAAAAACAGCTCCAGGCCCTACCAAGTTAGGGAGTGTGACTCCGCGCCTCCAGGAAAGCACACCAGCTGTACTGGCAAGGAGCGTAGGCACAGAAACATTGGAGAGCAGTGAGGAGGACTCTGAGAGTGAGGACAAGCCCCCTGCTGGGATTCCCAGCCAGGTTAGCCCACTGCCTAGGGCTCTGGATGCTGTCTGTGTAAGAGGACCCATTCTAGAGTTCATGGGGAGGGAGAAGAAGGGGCAAGGTGAAAAACAACATCTGGCCAGGGGGCTTTAGTACTTGGAAATGGCCCTTTGGACCTGCACTGCCCCAGAATGGCAGATTCCTGGGGGGCAGGTCCTACACCTGCTCTGGTGTTTGCATTTTTGCCTTGGTTTCCATAGTGGTGAGTATACTACTGTCCTCAACATAGGTGGCCGTGCTAGGAAGAGACCTGCAGTTTCTTCATCTTGAGTCTCCCCTTGTAGTCCAGCCCAGCCTCTAACCGCAAATTCTAGGGTTACAGGCATGTACTATCATACTGTCTTCAGTTACTTTTCCATTGTTGTGAAGAGACACCATCACCAAGGCAACTTATAAAGGAAAATTTAAAATTGGGTGCTTATAGTTCCAGGTGTTTAGAGTCCATGACCATCAAGGGAGAGCATTGTGGCAGGCAGGCATGGGGCTGGAGTAGCGACTGAGAACTTTTATATATGATCCACAATCAGAGAGAAAGCTAACCGGAAGGGCATGGCTTTTGAAACCTCAGAGCTGGTGGCACACTTTCTCAAACAAGGCCTTCTAATCCTTCCAAACAGTTCCATCAATGGGGGGTCCAGGTATTCAGACTTATGAGTCTGGGGGCCGTTCTCATTGAAACCATCACACGGGTCCTGGTGAGTCCTGAGAAGTTTTAAGTTCTTGTTCTCACCTTAGCTTTTCTAGCCGTACCAGACCCTGAGCAATCAAACGCTAGAGAGAACATTGTGTTCCTGTTTGGGGGACTTTCCCTTGGAGTGTAGTTCAGCTAGCAATCTCATAGCCCTGAGCACAGTCTGGGACATGCAGAAGGAGCTAGAAAGCCCTTAGAGTTAGAGCGAGGAGGAACAGTCCATATCCAGGGCTCAGGGTGGGTTGAAGTGTGTGTGGCCATTATTAAGATGTTAAAGAAGAGGTGGTTAACAACCTGAAGTGGCCAGGGAAGGACCCCAAAGGAGATATGACCAAAGACCTGAAGTTGAAGGGGGCAGGGAGCAGAGTTGGGTGTTGAGGCTCTGAGGTAAATTACAGTGTACAGACCCTGCCTACTCAGGGCTGTGTCTTCAGCGTTGGTTCAGATCTGTAGAGATGTGGGAACTGGATCTAGGAGATGGAGGAGAGGCACTCTGGGCTCCTGTTGCTGTCTACACTAGGAAGCCTAGGGAAGCTTTACTTCTTTCCCGTGTTCAGGCTGTGCCTTAACAACTACCTTTGCATATCCCTTCACTGCCCTGAGCCCTGCCAGACAAAGGCCGGTGCCTGTACCCATAGAGCGGACTTTTCCAGCTAAGGACTTGACCTCTTACACACTGAGACTGTCCATGGCCAGAGTGAAGGCCGCATACTGGTATCACTGGGGGCTGAGGTGTGTGGTGAGGTGAAATGGGAAGGTCTCTGTGCTAAGAGGATATGGAGCTGGTCATTGCTAAGGAACCAGAGGGCCGGGGCAGCTAGGGCACCACTGAAGGGAGGCGGGAAACTGGTTTCTCGGGAGCCTCTGGGCTTTCTCCTAGTGTCACCACCAGAGGAACTTGGAAGAATGAATTTTTCTTTCTCGTTCACCAGGTAAAGACCTCTGGAAAAGTTCCTCATGCCGGAGCTGCCTCAGTCGCTGCCAAGGGGATCTCTGGGAAAGGGCCCATCTCAGCAGGGAAAGAGAAGCTTGGGCCCATAGCCACCCAAGCCAAGGCAGGAAGGCCAGAGAAAGATACAGAGAGCAGCAGTGAGGACGATTCTGACAGTGAGAATGAGGAGCCAGTTGCTGTGACCACGCCTCAGGTGAAGCCTAGACCTAGACCTGCCGGGCCTGTCTGCTCGGCCAGAGCTTTGCACTCACCCGGCCCCCATCCTTTCTTCCTTCTGATTCACTCCTCACTGTCTCACAGCAGGCGAGGCCTTCCGGGAAGAACCTTCAGGTCAGGGGTACCTCAGTTCCTGCCAAGGGGTCCTCCCAGAAAGGGGCTCCTCCAGTCACCCCGGGGAAGGCAGGGCCTGCAGCAGCCCAGGCCCGGGCAGCAAAGCCAGACGACTCGGACAGCAGCAGTGAGGAGTCAGAGAGCAACAGTGTAAAGACACCAGTGGCTGTGGCCCTAAGCACAAGTCCTGCCCAGGTGAGGCCAGGAGCCTTATGCTCTGCCTAGACAGGGCTGTGATCCTCTGTTCAAAACCAGTGTCTTCCCCTGATCTTGCCCTTTGTCACACACAGATGAAACCTTTGGGGAAAAGCCCCCAGGTCAGACCTGCTTCCGCTGTCAGCCTGGGGTCCTCAGGAAAAGGCGCCCACCCACCCTGCCCTGGGAAGGCAGGCTCGGCAGCAATCAGGGTCCAGATGGGAAAGGTCGGAGAGGACTCAGACAGCAGCAGTGAGGAGGAGTCTGACGACGATGGGGCTGTGGCCGCAGCAAAGGTAAGACCTTGCACGGCCTCGGCACGGGGGTCTACACGGCCCTGCCAGCCCCAGCCCCTTCACTCCAGGTTCTGCTGTCTCCCTGAGGCTCCCCACTGATCTCACGTGTCTCGTTCCAGGCAAAGGCTTTGGGGATAAGGGCCACTCCTGCACTCCCTCAGAAGGTGGGGTCTGTGACCACCCAGGTCAAGACTGAAAGGCGTACAGAAGACTCGGAGAGCAGCGAGGAGTCGAGTGACAGTGAGGAGGAAACAGCACCAGCAGCTCCAACCCCGGCTCAGGTGGGGACCAGAGAGGGGAAGCAACCTCGCTGCTGCTCCCGCCCTCATCGACACCCTCCTTTCTGTTGGTAGGGAGGCCAGGATGAGCTGCATCTCACAACACATGTGGCCTGTGAATCAAGGGGTCTCCTCCAGCCTCCATCTACACTTTCTCCACAGGCCAAACCAGCTCTGGAAAAACAGACAAAGGCTTCCCCTAGGAAAGGCACCCCCGCCACCCCTGCATCTACCATGGTTGCCCCTGTGCAAGTGAGCACCTCATCCTCTAGTGAGGAAGAGTCAGGAGCTGCTCCTGGTACCATGAAGGTGGTACAGGTGAGGCCTGCGTTTGCCCAGGTGGCTCCCTGCTGTCCCCCACGGGGCAGTTCAGGCCCCTGTGAAACCCTTTTATCCCCTTGTCATTCTAGGGGAAGTCTGTTGCAAAAGGCCTCCAGGGGAAAGCTGCCTTGGGACAAGGGGTGGCCCTAGTGCACCCTGGGAGGACAGGGTCTGCAGTTGCCCAGGTCAGGGCTACAACTCAGGAAGACTCAGAGGACAGCGAGGAAGAATCCAGCAGTGAAGAAGATGAGACCCCAGCACAGGTGAGGTAGTGAGGAGCCAGCCTGGACTGAGACTGAGGATAGCTCAGCTGATAGTTCTGGGGCTCAGACTCGACTGGGCCTCAAGTTCCCCTTGCCCTCTGTTTCCTGAGCCCCCATCTCTAGGTTCTCACAGATCTGGATGTGTCCCGTGCACTCTGCCCACTGTTGTTTTGGGCAGGAGTTTCATGGTAGCATGCACACTATCCCAGAAGGATACGGTGGGGCTGTTCTGGGGTGTTTAGCAGTAGGGCTGGCCAGGCATGGCGCCTCAGATGTTTAAGAGGAATGCTGGACCTGGTGAGGAACTGAAAGTCACCTGGTGAGGTAGAAGGTAGGCTTCAGACAGAGAGGCAGCAGCACAAAAGCAAAGCAAGCTGGCTTTTGTAGCACCACAAGCAGGGTAAGTGGCAGTGGCCAGGGGCAGGTCCATCCTCATGAATGGTGGTGCTATTCCTGGGGCCTTGGCTACCTTCCTGTCAGAAATCCACCCTTGTGGTGGGTGTGGGTAGGACCTCACCTGCCCACCTACTGCCCAGGAACCTGCCTTAACTGGCAGTGGGCTGGGCTGCTGGTGGCAGAATTGAGAGCCATACCACCTGGCCCAGGAAGACAGGAAATGAAGATGGCCTTGTCACAGTCTGCACTGTGGGGACCTTCCTTAAGTCCTGACCAGATGACCTCTGGATAAGTCGGGGCCTGAAGTGCTGCTGGATGCCTTAAATGTTGCGCAGTGAAGGGGTTGCCCTGAAAGTCTGTCAGTTGTCTCACGCCGGCTGGGGCCTTCCGTAGCTTAGTGGTTAGTGCTTAGCTGCCGTCCACAGAGCCCGGGGTTCCATCCCCAGCACAGCACGTACTCTAGAATGATTTCTCATTTTTTCTCTGGCCCCTGGAATTTGTACAAATTAGACGCCCTAACAAACATTTTAGGACTTCTCTAGATAGTAGTTAGATGAGGTTAATTAGCATCTGAAGAGATGTTGCTTTTGCAGAAGACCTGGGTTTGGTTCCCACGTGGTGGTTACAACAGTCCCAAACTCCTATTCCAGGGAATCTGACTCCTGACCTGCACAGGTACCAGGCGTGAGGTGACCTGTAGATATGCACAGGCAAACTTTCATCCACATTAAAAAAAAAAAAAAATCTTTGAAAGGAAAAAGGATGAAGTTAAACAGAAAACAAAACAAAAACCCGAAATGAAGTTTCTGTCTTGTTCTGTTGCCTCCTACTCAGTTCTACTGCATGGACTGAGGTGGCTGCTTGAGCTCCACCTCCCTCGGCATTCCAGGGAGCAGAGTTTATATGGTGCTCAGCTTCCGTTCTGAAAAGTAGAGTTTAATGACACGGCACATTAGCTGAAAGGGAGCCTAAAAGCAGTTTTGTCTAGGTAGGATGATGCCTACTGGCTTTACAGTATAGAATTTGAGTGTTTGTTAGTGACAGGCGCTGTGTTAAACATTCAATCTCCTATTTGATTTTTGCAAAAATTTCATAGATGCATTTTATTATACTCCTTTTATACAGGGGAAGTGAGACCTACTAAACTTAAGTGGCTTCTGTGGTTTGTAGTTTTGTTTTGTTTTTGTAGACACGTCTCACTATGTAGCCCTGGCTGTCCTAGAACTTGCTCTGTAGACCAGGCTGGCCTTAGACTCACAGAGATCTGCTGCCTCTGCCTCCTAAGTGTTGGGATTAAAGGTGTGTGCCGCCACCACCTGGCTCAAGTGACTTCTTAAGTTCACATTGCTGATAGTTGGGAAGAGTATCAGTGCAGTGTCTGCAGTGCCAGAGTTCGTGGATTATTGCTGTTTCAGGTCACCTTCCACCTTACTAATTCCCCTACTTCCTTCCAGGCCAAGCCCTTGGGGAAACCTCCTCAGGCCAAAGCCAACCCACCTAAGACATCTCCAGCCAAAGGACCAGTGTCTGCCTCTGGGAAAGTGAGCACTGCAGGCGCTGCAGCAAAGCAGGAGGTCCCTTCCAAGGCAAGTGCGACCAGAAACCACAAAACAAGATGGGATAAGTCTAACGGGGGTCCAGCAGTGATCCAACATTGATGACACTCTGCAGAAGCAGGGTACCCCCTATTATAGCCTCTTCTAATGCCATTGCCGCCTCTCAATCCAGGGGAAACCGCCTGCTAGTACTGTTCAGAACAGTGCTGTCTCTGCAAAGGGCCAGCGATCGGCTCCAGCTGCAGGAAAAGCAGGGGCTCCAGCAACCCAAGCACAGAAAGGGCCAGTGGCTGGAGCAGGAGCGGGGAAGAGCTCAGAGAGCAGCAGTGAAGAGGAATCAGACAGTGAGGAAGAGGCGCCGACCCAGGTAAGGCGGAGCTGGAGTTACGGCGGTGTGTTTTGGCCCAGGCCTCTCAGCACAGCTCGGTGTGCCTCAGAATCTACCTGGGTCCTCGAGCTCTCTCCCCTTGTTGTTTCTTCAGATAAAACCTGTGGGGAAGACCTCTCAGGTCAGAGCTGCCTCAGCCCCTGCCAAGGAGTCTCCTAGAAAAGGGGGCCAACTAGGAACTGCCAACAAGACAGGACCTACAGCTACCCAGGCCCAGAAGAGGAAGATGGAGGACTCAGAGAGCAGTAGTGAGGAATCCGACAGTGATGGGCAGATGCCGTCAGCCGTCACCCCAGCCAAGGTGAGTGGCCTGAGAGCCACTGTCACCAACTCCTTGGTCATAAACTGATCTTGGTCTGGTGAAAAGGAAGAGCAGATAGACATTCTAACTCCAGGATCCCTTTTCCCTGGGCCCCCACGTCCCCTGGTGAAATGTGCTGTAAGTCTCTAACCAAGACCATCCTAGATTCTCCTGTAGCTCACAGGGCCTCCACAGCACTCCTGTGCAAACCGAGGCAGGTTCTGCCAAGGTGTGTGAATCCAGCCTACAAAGATACCCCTATCAGAGAGCCACAGGGAGCTTGGGCTATGTTGCCAGTCTTGTCTAAGGAGGGCCTGTCTAGTTCAGTGAAGCCTGGGCCCAGGAAATGGGAAAGAGTTCTTGAACAGCCAGGGCTACACAGAGAGACATGGTGACAGGTCTGGTTTGAGCTCAGACATTGTTGATGCAGCCTGGTAGAATTGATAGGTGATGGCATCTGAGGTGGCACCTTAGGAAGATGGCAGCTGAGATCATCAGAAAAAATGGTCCCTGTCAGTTTTGGCCAGTCATGACTTGATAGAAAGTAGGAAGTGTCACATATAAGTTGAGATATTCTAGCTTCTCTTGAGAAACTGGCAACCTAGGTCCTACTTGCTGAGTGAGGACAGTCCCACCCATGCTGAGAGGCACAGAGCCCTCCCTGGGCCCCTCTGAGTTGGCGTCACCACCAGCTCTTCCTCAGTGACTGACAAGTTCTATGGTTTTTGACCACATGGTCCATGAAGCCTCCTCCTAAAAGGCTCATGCAGACATGTCACACTGTCTGCCACTGAAGGCAGAGGCCAGCAGATCTCTGTGGATTTGAGGCCAGTCTGGTGTACAGAGCTAGTTCTTGGGCAGCCTGGGCTACACAGAGAAGCCTATCTCAAAAAAAAAAAAAAAAAAAAAAAAGATAGGCCACACTGTCCTCAGCACAAGAGGTGCCATGTTTCCTCCTCCACTGGGCTCCCCTCCCTGTCACATGTTCATTCAGGTCCTGTCCCCTCCGAAGGATGGTACCTCCCAGCCTGCCTTGAGCAGGGCCCCAGCACCAGCACCCCCAGAGAAGAGCACAGAAGAGTCCTCAGAGAGCAGTGATGAGGAGCTGCCGTCCGCCCAGGTAGGTCGTGTCTTTTCTAACGCCTCCCCTGGCTGAGCCAGGGTGTCACTCTTCAGAAAGAGTGTAGGGAATGTCTCACCACATAGAGACAGCATTTCACAGCCTCTGAGCTCTTGTCTGTCTTCTGATACACTCTTCTGACATGGACAGTCCACAGAACATGGTAGGGTGCAGGCTTCACACCCCCAGCCCTCCCATGCTGGCCAGGGTCCTCTTATGATTCAGGTATTCCGTGTAAAATGGAGTTGATAATGGTGACTATGTACCGATACAGGTGGCCCAGGTCCTTGGCTGAGTCCCCTTCCTGAATAGGAATGCCTGATCACTGTTGGGAGGGCAGGTTGTCCCGGCTCCCTGTTTGCCAGGCCAGGGATTAAGACGCCCTTCCTTACCTTCTCATAAAGGGGCTTGAACGCAGCACTGCTCCATAGCCTCTTTGGTCCGTGTACTGTTGGAAATCTAGAGCCTTCCCTGCAAGCCTAGCCGGAATCTATGGGCCTCACCCCAGATCAAGCCTGGGCAACGTATTGCACCTCATTTTCTGCTGTTCCCTGCTTCTACCTGGCCTTGTCCCCAAGCATGAGGCCCAGGGCACCTTCTCTGGCTTCAGAGGCCCACTATATCCAGCAAGATGGTACATGTTCTCATGAAGCCAGGCCTTTTAGAGACAGCACTGCCCTCTTGTTGAGGAGAGGGGACTGTGGCTCAGAAAGAGCTCTGGGAATGGTGTTTAAATCATGGTGGTCTGCACGGTCTCCTGCTCAGCTGCCCTACACTCCACTTTCACACTCCCCACCTCAGCGGTCCCGGTTCTGAGCAGGTTGGCTTAGTCCTAATGCCTGCTGGTCTCGGGCCCATTGTCTCATCCGTCAGGATGTCGGTGTGCTGCGCAGCCTTTCTGAGTCAGCTCCCTCCTAGCGGGCTCACAGCTCGGAGGGAAGGCTGCCTTGATTGTCTGTGTGAGTGGACTCACAGTTAAAGCAAACGTCGCTGGAACTACTGTTAAATTGGTACATTATGCTTAAAGATCTGGAGTCTCTATTTGGAAAAAGCAGAGCCTGTAGTGTCTAGATTCTCGGAAGGGTTCCAGGGGAGTGGGCACAGCAGTTACAGACAGTTGTGAACCACTGTTTGAAGATGAAGAATCAAACCCAAGTCCTCTAACCTGAGTCATCTCCCCAGCCCTCTTAATTATTTTAAAGGCTACTTCCTCTGTCTTCTTGCCAAAACAAAGGCATGGGCCCTGTCCTGAGTCAGAGAACAAGGAACTTGTAAAAATCTAAATTGTGAGAGGCAGGCGGATCTCTGTGAGTTCGAGACCAGCCTGGTCTACAGAGCTAGTTCCAGGACAGGCTCCAAAGCTACAGAGAAACCCTGTCTCGAAAAACAAAAACAAAAACAAAAAAAAAAAATCTAAATTGTGGTATTAGAGCTTGCATGATTATGTCTAGAGGGAACTCCTGCCTGGTCCCTGGAGAGCTGTCTTTCAATCCTACATCTGAAAACAGTTTTCTGGTCTTCCTGGGTGAGATGCTTGCTTTTTCTGAGCATCAGCCTCAGCTCTTGGGGTAGGGTAGGGGGAGAATAAACCTCGGATCGCCTAGCTAAACCCCCAGAAGTATTATTTCCAAGTCCTTGGGTAGGATTGGCCCCGAGGGTCTGTTAGCTGTCCCCCAGGTGATGATGATAATCCTCCTCTTTTTCCCCCCTATTTTTGGTGGTTCTGGGGTGGAACCCAGGACCTCATGAGTGCTGAAGACATACCCTGCTGCTGAACTGTTCCTCTAGCCCCACAAAGCCGCTTTGAGAAAAGCTCCTAATGCTGTCCCTTCAGCCAGCCCCGCCTCCCCACTTTGCCCCAGATTTACAGAATAAGGGCACAGTAGGTATGAGCCCAGCTGAGACAACAGGTCGTAGGCACTGCCCAAAGCACCCCAAGTTTGCTTCTGTAAGCATCATTCCTGCAAATGGGAAGGGCATCCCCATACCTACTCTGCTCTCGGTACCCACAGGGTGAGGGGCTTTGGTGAAGGTGTTGTCCTCTTGCGCTGTTCTGCCTTTGTTGACTGACTTCTTTGATCAAAGCGCATTCCACATGTGCTGGGCTTTGTGCATTCCTCAAGGTGGGCACACCTTTCAGCAGATGGGCAGCTGGGCTTGACCACACAGGGCATGATAACAGGGTGGGGAACAAATGCTTCAGGCCTAAGCACTGCTCCCTGTACTTAGCCTGCCCTCAGCAACCAGGCCACTACCACCTCCCTCTCCTGCCCTCCCTGCACTGGGTTGGGGTGGTGTGGGCAGGTGGAACTGGAGGAGGCTGTGCTGCGGAGCTGCTTTTAACATCCCAAGACGCTATTGTTTGCCTCAGTGGGTTTGCTGCCTCTCTTGGTCCCCAACAATCTGTTCTTCTGTCTTCTCACATATATATAGATCCCCCTCCCTCCACCACAAGCCTTCTCCCACTTTCCATCCCTCTCCTTTTCATCACGTGGGAAGGAAGGCTCTGGAAGTGGCAGATCAGAGCGGCCGCGGGGGAGGCTGTTTGGCAGGGTAGGAAGGGCCTGAGTGCAGTGCTGCCACACTCGTGGGTACCGTAGTGCTGAGCTTGTCGCTCTCCTCCTGTCCCACGGCCCCTGGGGTGGTGGGAGCCTGATGAAGCGCAGCAGGTGGGCAGGGTGTTGCAGTGGACCTGACTATCTGTCCCTCTGTGGGCCTCATGCAGCCCTCTGCTGGCCAGAGCACGCGAGCAGCCTTCCAATCCCGTCTCCTGACTCTGTGCCTTTGTCAGCTGGGGCTTTGGAAGGAAATAGACCCTAGAGTCCCTTGGTGCAGTGACACATTTGGGAACCTGTGGTTCACTGCTCAGCTAGCCTTCCCTGTCTAGAGTCTGCCGCTGCTTTTACCATCTCAGTGACCTGCAAAACAGACCCAAAGGTAAAATGATGAGTCAGGACATGCAAGAACATGTCTGTAATCTCAGCATTTAGGAGACAAAGCAGGAGGGTCAAGAGTCGGAGGCCAGCCTGGTGGGCTACACAGTAGGACCCTGTCTCAGGATTTTAAAATACGTAAAGTAAAATGATGCACCCTACACACGGTCCCAACCCTCACCAGTTCAGTCCTGAGCAGATTGGCTTTGTGCACACTCTGCTTGCTTTCCAACACCTGCTGGCCTCAAGCATGTCATCTCATCCGCCAGGATTTCAGTATGCAGCTCAAAATGATAGGGCTTTTCCTTTTCCTCTTAAGCATAACCACAAGACAGTGTGACAGCTAGCAAGCTGACCCGCAGGCAGTGTGCTTGTTTACCGAAGTATCTGATGAGTAACATTTTTTATGCTTGTCCTCCTGTTTTAGAGTCCAGATAAGGTTAGTGTGTGGTGGTGCAGAGGCAGGTAGAGCTCTTCATTCAAGGCCAGACTGTCTCAAAACAAGTAAGGGCCTCTCTCTCTCTCACACACACACACACATTAAAGTCTTGAACCCTTTCTTAATCTGCTGGTTTTACCCTGGGCAGTTTAGGTACTAAGGAAACTGGATTGGTATCACTGGGAGCTGCATGCTGGGCCACACCTCGGGGAGTCTGTATCAGGGTCTCTGGGGGAGGGGACAATGAGACTCCAGGAAAATCATATCTTATAGCCAGACTGCTTTAGGAAGTGCTTTTTAGAACTCCCCACTTAGCAGGTGGCCATCTGATGTCATCAGAAGAAAGAGGCTAAATTAGACATTCCAACTCTCGCCTTGCTGCCTGTCTGTGTGTCTTCCTCTGTGGACTTAAGACTTTCTCATTTGTCCAGTGGTGTGGGTACTGCTTACACTCGGGGTCACTGAAGGTTGGCTGGGCCCCTATGAATTGCTGTGCTGGGTGTTAGCTGGTATAGGTGGGAGTGGGCTACAAGTGCCCAAGCACCTTGAAATTCTTGCCTTATTATAAAACCCTCCCTCACCTGTTTCCCTTTCCCTCCCCCTGGCTAAGCCTTTAATCACTGAGTGTGTGTGTGTTTTGTTTTTGTTTTTCAAGGCAATTAAATCCCCTCTGATTTCTGTCAACCCCAATCGTAGTCCAGCTGGTCCAGCTGCTACCCCCACACAAATCCAGGCTGTGAACACCTCGAGGAAAGCCCAGGCCTCAGGCTCCACAGCCCAGAGCTCCTCCTCTGAAAGTGAGGATGAGGACATGATTCCTGCCACACAACCCTCCATTCTTGGTGAGTTCTGCTTGAGCTGCTCAGCTAGGAGGGCTGCTGCCATGCCTGCTCTTCCCCATTGAGACTAGAAGGGACCAGACGCTAGCCAAGTGGAAGACTAGGAGCTCAGTCTTGGACCCTGCGTTACTACCTTGTTTTGAAGGAATTACATTCAAGGCTTCTGTGTGTCGTCTCCAAGCCTGAGAGCCCAAGGTTTGGGGGACCAGGCTAGTCTTAAGACAGCTCTGCTGTAACCAGCTGGCTGTGCAGTAGGCTTCCATCCCTTGTAGCATAGAAAAAGAAGACAGGTAACATTTTATATACTTGGTCTCATCCCAAACCTAAGGTAGATTAGTGTATTTGTACGTGGCTTGCCCTCTAGAAGCTCAGACATCTGCAGTTGTGTATCAGGACACGGTGACATTTCTCTCATTAAGTAGAGACAGCAAGATTCCTCCTGGCAGCAGAACAGCATTGATTTGACTAGTACATGATGGGGACATGTGGCCTTGTTGGGCTGTGATAAGCATGTCTTCCTCAGCATCCAGTGGCTGTCCCACTGATTCCTGACTGAGGAGTCTCTGGCACCATGGTCTAGCTTGTTGCTTAGGAGTAGCAGCCTGCTCAAGAGGAAAAGGCTCGGAGTCACTGCCACAGGAGCCATTTGAAGGCCCTGAGCCTTGTCAGATGGCATGAGAGCTGCTGCCTGGCAGGCTTGGGGCGGAAAGCAAGCCAGCATCTGCTTTATGATCTCTAAGCCGAGCACCAGGTCCACGGGAAGAACTGGTAATGGGGTAATACCTTGCTGGGGAGTTACGGGGCTTCTGTACCCTGACGTGCCTGCCCTCTCCTCCATTTCAGCCCTTAGAGCCAATGTGGTGACTGTGCCCACGTCCCTCCCACGGACAGCCCCCCAGCCCAGCAAAAGTGAGCAGTCTAGTCGGGCGCCAAAAGGCAAGAAACCAAAGGCAGCGTCCACTCAGGTACTGTCGGGTAAGAGAGGGCTGTGGTAGGGTCACTCTGCTACCGTGGTGTTGCTTGGCAGTCAGTGGCTTGCTCCCAGCACCCTAGCACTGTCATTTGGTTCTGGAGCCAAGCTCCCAAATCCCCACGGCATTGTCAGGAAGAGCAGGTTGAGATCCAAAGGCAAGTGGAATCCCTTCTCTTCCCAGCTTGATGGACTCTGAATTTGTTGTCTAGCTCTGGTTTTAAATGCTGTGAATACGAGTTGCTTGCCTTCCTTAGCATTTTCTCCTAGCCATCGCCCATTTCAGTGCATTGCTAATTAGTAGGGCAAGGTTAGTGGACGCTGTTTAAATAAAACTGAGGGTGCATCCCACCAGGGTCAGTCCAGTACAAGAAAGAGCCAGGCATGGTGGCAGGGGGTTGTAATCCCAATACTGAGTGACTAAAATGTGTCAATCCCGGGGGGCACACTAGCCAGGCAGCCTAGTGTTAATTGGTGAGCCCCAGGTCACATGGAGAAGGTAGATAGCTTCCTGTGAACAACTCCTGAATTTTAGTTACAGCTTCAACATGAGCTTGTGTGCACTTAAAGCATGTGTGTGTATGTGTGTACACGCTCTATGCACACACAGCCAGTGAGACCCAGCCAGGACCTAGCCTTCAAGTGCTTTGTGTTTGGGGAGCTGTGTGGACCATTTTGACCCTGCTCTCCTTCCACCCATGACTGGGTTCTCTCTGCTGTATGTCAGTGAGAGCCCAGCATGACTGTGTGTCCTACCACCAGCCCCTACTCTATGTCTCCAGGCCTTAATGTCCTGGCACATGATAAGAAACTACAGTGCCCACCAGAGAGCTGTGGGGAAAGTCATGGGAGCCACGTGTGGTGCTTCCCACATAGGGCCTGGCCGTGTTAGGTCCCTCTTGCTGTGACTTCCATTGTGCTCTTTCTGTACCGAACAGATCAGCAGTGCCTTGGAAACACTCCCCGTGACTCCCCAGAGCAAACCTGTCCAGTCCAAAGCAGCCAATAAGCTCAGAAAACCCAAACTTCCTGAGAAGCAGCAGCCTCCCTCGGGCTCTCCCAGACCCTCCACAAGTTCAAGTGACAGCAGTGACATCTCTTCAGGGAGCGAGGAAGATGCCAAGAGACCCCAGATGGCCAAGTCAGCTCCCAGACTGGGTGAGGATTCTAGGAGAGAGGGCAGGGGATGAGACATAGCCCAGCCTGGGCCTGTTTGTCCACAACTAAAGACCTGAGCAGCTTCTTGGTATCAGACTCCCTTTATTGAAAGCCTCGGGACTCTGCTTTCCTTAACAGTGGAAAGCAGAGAAATGGGAGCCTCGGGAACCAGAAAGGAAGACCGTGGCATTCAGATGCGTCAGGCAGAGTGCTTTGGATAGCATCAATGGGTGGAAAATGGGAGTCTTGTGCGGGAGGATGAAGAACATAGGAAGACCCAGGCTTTGCAGCCTTCCTGAGGAGCTCTGCCTAGCCTCATTAACAGGGCCACTAGGGACCCACACCCAACAGACCTTTGCTTCTGCACTAGATCCGGGCCTTTCCCAGAAGGAGACTGTGGTGGAGGAGACCCCAGCTGAATCCAGCGAAGATGAGTTGGTGGCCCCCTCACAGGTAACTGCCAGGGTAGAGCTAAAACTTGTAGCTGCAGCTTTAGACTTCAGCTACTCCTTGGGTCAAGTGTCTAAAATCCTATTCTCAGGGCCCTGGGCAAGGTCCTGCCTCGGGGATGCCCTTAGCAGAATGGAGCCTCAGCTCCTGCCCTGGGGTCTAGGGAAGAGATGCAGATGAAGTCTAAGACACGCCCAGATAAAACTACTTCTTAGATCTGTCTTAAGGCTCATCTGTGTAAGGACAGACAGTGGTGATTTTCTCCTTTGTGGGGGTCAGAACAACTTTGTAGAGTCCATTGTTGTCTTCTTCCACTTTTATGTGGGCTACTAGGTGGAACCCAGGCTGTTGGGCTCACAGCAAGCGCCTTTACCCTCGGAGCCATCTTCCCGGTCTAAAATGCTAATGCTTTTCCATTACAGTAATGGTCCATTGGCAATAAGAAATTCCCCCTTTGAGAATATGCCTTAAATACACTTTAATTCTAACTACATGGATTTAGAAGGTATGCCCCAAGGGTCTTTGGGCTCTGTGGCTTGGTGCCACAGAGATGCTTGACTGGCTTGGCCTGGTCTTGGGTCACTGAACTGATTTCCTCAGAGCAGGCCTTGCCTCTGGGGATAAGGGTAGGGGCTCACTGCGTCTTTCACACTGGGCTTCGTCAGTCTCTCCTCTCAGGTTATGTGACTCCTGGGGTGACTGTGGCCGATTCCCAGACTTCAAAAGCCACTCTTAGGTCAGATTCCTCCAACTCCTTGGTTTCCTCTGCTCCGGTCACCAAAGATAACCCAGATGGCAAACAGAAAGCAAAATCCCAGAATGCAGCAGACTCCACGTTCCCCAAAACCGGTGAGTCAGGGGACAGCAGGACGTGGCGGGGCAAGGCTGCTGGTCCCTGCTTGCCATCAGCAGCAACAGTTTCACCAGTGTTTGCCTATGTCTCACAAATGCAAGCCTACCTCTGTGGGGACTGGAGTACCCTCAAACACAGCTGGAGGCCAGGCCTAGGTTTCTGGCTCTCGTCACCCTGGGAGAGGGTATATCCACCCCTTTGGAGCTAGTGAAGCTGTAGCAGCTTCTTTGGCTTGTGGAGGAGGCCTCGGCCCCCCAGCTGTCCCTACTGACTTTTCTTAGTTAGTGGGCCAGGGTATTGGGTATAGGGACTCAGAATGACTCGGACTTGGCCAGCAGTCCTGTTTGGAGGATTCAGTATATAGAGGACACCCTAGGTGATGGATTGGTCTCTGGGGCTGCTCTGACTTACTCTGTAGCAAAAGCTCCTGGGAGCCTATGTCCTAACCATGCAAGGCAAGAGTAATGCCACTGTGTACTGGCAAAAGTATATCATATAGAAAATTGGTGGTGGCACATGGATTAAAGAATCCCAGCTCTCAGGAGGCCGAGGCAGGCATATCTCCGTGAGTTTGAGGCCAGCCTGGTCTACAGAGCGAGTTCCTGGGCAGCTTTTCCTTGAGGCAAACATTACTAGGGTCAGCCCCTGGCCACAGTGTCAGAATTCTCTACTCAGAATGTACACAGAATGGTGGAGACCTGCCCAAGTGACCCAGGAGGCTAGAAGTGGTGATGGGACCGAGAACTCTGGGCTGTGACTTGAGCTTTCCTGCGCTGGGTCAGAGGCGGAGTTGTTGCTCACTTTCTTCCCCAGTGTTCTTGTCTGTGTGAGAGGCGGGTGCGACAGGGAGACATTTTCGAGGGGGCTGTGGAAGGTTTTTTTTACACATGTAGTCAGCACACAATTATCAAAGGCAAGCAGAGGCGTGGAAAATTCTAAACAAAGGCTGCACCAGAAGTCACTCTGGCAGGCAGTAAACCTGCTTAGTCAGCCGCCACATGCATACACAGCATACCCAGAGTTCCCTGATCTGCCTCTTGCCCCAGCCTTGATGGGCCAGGGACCCACTGTATGTCCACAGACAAGAGCTGAACAGCAGCCCGTAGGACATTCTCCCGTGTTATAAATCCACAGGTCATGGCAGAAGATACCATTGCTTTTCTAGCTTGTTCCACAGTGGGATACAGGCCTTGCGGGACTATGACCTGGCCAAAGCCTTACAGTAAACTGGTAAAGGCAGACCTAGAACCTGAGTGACTCACGTCCACCTGTTGTCCCCTCCATCTCACTAACATTCTGGGGACACTGCCCATCCCCAACTATAACTGAGTGGAGTTTTTGGTGTGAGGACATAGAGCAGGGCTGGAAGTTAGAGGTGAGATCCCTGTTTAAGGCGTAAGCATTAGAGGTAGATGGGGCAGTATGACCCTTGGGCCTCAGTTTCCCATCTGTCTGGTTGTAAGGAGCTGCACCCCCTCAGTTCTCATATATTGTATAAGATCTGTCCCTCAGCTTTCCAGACCTGTGACCTCCGAGACCTGTGATCCACAGGTAGGAAAGAGCCCTCTTCAGGCTCCACACCTCAGAAGTCCAAAAAGGCCAAGAAAAGCTCCTGGACCACACAGGCTCTACAGGACAGCATCACCCAGCGCCTCCGGGAGCAGCCCTGGCCCCTGAGCGAGGCGCAGGTGCAGGCCTCTGTGGTGAAGGTCCTGGCAGAACTGCTGGAGCAGGAAAGGCGGAAGACCACAGAGATCGCCAAGGAGAATAAGAAGAAGGGCCGGAAGCGGAAGCTTTCGGAGGACCAGTTAGCAGCTGGGGCCCCAAAGAGCAAGAAGAAGCATCTGGAGGATGGAGCCGGTGCCATCACCCCAGAAAAGACTTCCAAGGCAAAATCCAAGCTAGACAAAGTGAATGCTGATGGCAAGGGGAAGGGGTCACCTGGCTCCCGAGGGGCTAAGGAGAAGCCCAAAAGTGAGCTGGGGTTAAAGGTTGAGAGCCGAGAGCAGAGTGACTCAAAGAGCAAGAAGGACAAGAAGAAATCCAGTAAGAGTAAGTGACTGCCTTCCTGGGCATACACTGCGGGTGCAGGGAGGGGGTAGCAGGCCTCTTTATCTCGCTCTCCACAAAGAGTAAGAACCTGGGAAGTGGATTTTCCAGAGCGACAGGCATCTGGTTGCAGAGCCAAAAGTAGTTTGCAGAGCACTTGGGCCGGTGCTACAGCCCTCCCCACAGCTCAGGAGGCCCCTTACAGGGCCCGGCATTTACACCCACGTTCGCCTCAGGCTTTTAGAAAGCACAGGCTCAACTGCACTTCACAAGGTTGGAGAACAGGGAGCACTCCTCTCCAACTTAAGTTACACAAGAGGTCCACTGCCAGTTCCCGGGGTACAGAACATACCTCTGCCCTCGTCCAGAGCTGTCTTTCCACTAGAATTGCCCTCCATGCTGGAGCCTTTCCAGTCATCCTGCCAACCCTGGGCAGTGAGAGTATTTTGTTTTCATTTTCTAAGTGAAAAACAGGCCTTGAGAAGGAAAGGCCTTTTGCAGGCTGACCTCAAACTCACAGAGATCCACCTGCCTCTGCCTCCTGGGCACCACCACACCCAGCATGGAAATCCTCCTGAGCACTGCCTGCCCATCCATGACAGGAGGGGGAGAAGAGATACCCAGCCCTGTGTGAGGGTCTGCTGCCCCTTGATGTCCAGAACCTATAGGGCTCATTTAAAATAAATGAGGGGGGAGAGGCTCTTAAGGTGAATTAATTCAAGACTGGCTCTATAACTCAGTGATAAAGAACTGGCATAACTAGTATTGAGGCCCTAGATTATGTGGTTCACAAGCAGGAAGAATGGAGCCCTGGCCCCACCAGGGCCTGTTTCCCCATGGTGTAAGAGCTGGGAGTTGTCTGGCCTCCTGACATCGACCCATTCGGTGTCAATATCTATTGCTCAGGAAGTTGTCTTTCTTCCCTCAGAAAAAAAAGACAAGGAAAAAAAGGAAAAGAAGAAAGGCAAAAAGACCTCAGCCAAAGACCCTGAGTCAATACAGAAGAAAAAGAAAAAAAAGGTGAAAGTGAGTTCCTGGGAGCTCCTGGGCCAGAAATTCAAACGTTTCCCGTTCCAACACCCAGACCTGGCCATGCCACCTTCCAGGCTTGTTTTAATGGACCTTGTGAGGAAGAGCAGGGGAGAGGTGATAGAGACCACCCTGGGTAGGAAACTGGGTGGGCTCAGTCCAGCGTCCAGGGGAGAAGAAGGGGTTTGAGCATGTGCCTGGCCTGCATGGCCTGGCCAGGAGGGGTGCTCACTGAAGAAACAGCCATCCACTTCATGAGGCAAAGGCTGTTTGGCCCAGGGCTGGTAGCACAGGAAAGCCTAGCAGTGGGAGCTACAGGAGTTTGACTCTTAAGACAGTCCATGAGATGAAGACCCACGGCACTGAGACCCTGTTGCCCTTCTTTCCTCACAGAAGAAGGCAGCCGAGCTTGCCGTGTGAGGGCCAGCACATAGAACAGGTACCTGACTCTTTCTTGCCTTTCTGGATAGCTGGGTGGGCCCAAATGGAGGGAGCTAGAGAGACAGCAACTCCCTTCCCCGGCGTCAGTGGGACTGAGGGACACTGGTAGCGGGTACAGCAGCATGCAAAGAGTGCCCTGAGCAAAGCTGCTGCCTCTCCCTTGACTTTTTCCTCCTGGCCTGGTTTGTTTTCTTCTCCTAGAGTCTTGTCGGTGTGACTGTTCCTGACCTCTGAGCTCTGGCCAGAGTAATCTGGGACTGGACTTGTTAACTTGCCTCCCTCAACAGAAGATGATGGCCAGCTCCAGCATGTACTGCCGGCCAAGCCGGTGGACCTGCAAGGGAGAACCTGCAAGGGGGTGGCAGTCCAGGAGGAAGTGGGATGAAACACGCCCACCCCCTCCAAGTGCTGCATAAGATGTGTACAGTATATATATATATTTTAAGTGACTGCCTCTCTCCCTTCAAATCCAACATGCCCGAAGGCCTCAGGACCTCCATCTCTGCACTGCAGACCCACGAGGTCCTGCTTGTAGTTCATCCTGTTCCCTGGATTCCAGGCCTATCCCAAGGCCTTGTCCTATCAATTTTCCAGCTGTTTGGGGTTTGTTTGATTTTTTTTTTTTTTAAGAACTCAAAATAAAAGACTTTAAAGATTTGCATTTACCCATGCGTCTGTCCCCGAACTGTTACTGACTAGGAAAGACTGGTGACCCTGGAGGAGCACAGGTCACTCAGGGCTCCTTCCTGCCCTTGTGCCAAGGCCTATGGTACTGTGAGTCTGACAGTTTGCTCTGTGAAGCCCCCCAGGCGCTGATGTAGGGAGGGCTCCCTGGAGGAGATGGCCACTGAGCCTGGGGAGAGAAGGTGGGTCAGATGCCAGAGTTGATGGCTGGGGGCCTTTGGAAGTTTGGAGGTTAGGATGGTGTGGAAGGTAGGAAAACATTGGTGGCTGGCATGGGAAGGGTAGAAGAACCAGTAAGCCAGGCCACGAGTTGTCCTCTGTCCAGGGAACAGTTCTGTGCTGGTGAAGGCAAGAAGGGAACAAAGCTGACGGCGACGTGTTGGGACAGTAACTGGGGTAGACAGAGGGAGGAGAGTGGCAGTCAGTCTGGCTGCCTCTGCATAATCAGAGTCTGTGGAGCGCCAGAAGTCGGAGCATTCGCCTCAAAGGCCGTAGGCCCTGGGCACCCTGTGTGCAGAGCTTTGGGATGCACCACCCGACATGGACAGCCGTTCCTTTCGTTCCCACTGTTGGCCCAGATCAGTCTGCAGAGAAGGCTCTCAACGGCTGTGCTGAGCGCTCACAGAAGTACTTAAACTTAAAAAACGGGACGCTGCCACTACTGTTCATGCTGGACTCCTGGGTGGTAAGGGGTCTGCTCCCTTTTCCAGTGACAGTGGACTGGAGCTGAATAGCCATGGTTCCTGCACAGATACCCAGCTGGTGGCAGCCCCGTGTGCATCCATTCCTGACACCCAGGCCCCTGTGTCCATCTGTCATCACACTTACGCTGTTCTTAGTACAGAAATGGAATTGGGGACATGAGGAATGGAAGCTGGGACACGATGAGCTGTGCTTTTTAAACTGGGCAAGAATCTGTTCTGAATGTTAAACAGGTACTGAGTGTCTGTGGCCCATCACCCTGGACTCCTCAGGCCCTGGGAACCTAGGTGATTGGGGTTAAGGTTGTCATTGACTTTCTTAGGGTAAACTAATTGGATCCCAACAGAAGAGCCAGGAGCAAGAATGTTTACTTACTACCTTTTATTGTCACGTGAGCCATGATCCTACAGGCTGCTGATAAGCTTGGCTGAGCAAGGAACCCGGGGGGGGGGGGGGGGGGGGGGGGGGGGGGGGGGGGGGGGGGGGGGGGGGGGGGGGGGGGGGTTGGCAGGAAGTGAGGAAGGGTTGCTGGGAGGAGGGCCTGGGTTCTTCCTTGAGAAGACAGCAGAGGTGTTCAGTGTGGGTTAAGGGTTGAGTACCCCTTATCCCTGTCTGTGGGCCTACATCTCAAAGCCCCACACTGGAGACTGCTAATGGGTCAGAAATGGGGTCCACCTAGCATTGCCCACTCTGAGCTTTGTGTCCCTTTAGATAGGGCTGGGCAGCAGGGCCCTCCCTCCAGCATCCTCATTCTGTTCTGATTTTATTTGTCGTGTCCAGGGATGATGACGCAGAACCAGCCTTAAGCCCCAAGGTGCAGGGAGACAAGAAGTGGGATGTGACTGTCAGGGAAGGCAGGAAGGCTGGGGCACCACAGGAGAGCAGGAAAGCTGCCGCTGTGCAGAGCCAGCCTCTGTCTTCACATGGCTAGAAAGGGAAGCAGACGTTAATATGGTTGGCTCTCCTGCTGGACCTGCCTCTTCCCAGCATCTTGGAACTGCAGAGCAGTCAAGGGACCCCATTTTCCCCTGTGCTGGTCTGATACTCTGTTTCCAAGCACCAGCCCATTCTATAAAAGCCGGCCCAGTATTATACCCTCCACGGGTCCCCTTACCTAGGCCCACATCCTGCTTGGTCACACCCAGGCCAGAAGATGGGTCTTCCAGGTCCAGTGGCTCTGCAAAAGAATCATCATGCTATCCTTACCCCACCACACACTTGGTTGCCATTGTGCCCAAAGGCGTATTTCCCAATCAGATATGGCCCTGAGCCCGGGAAAGGAGGCACCACAGTATGTAGTGTGGTTAGAGGGTACGGTGACATGGGGGAGGGACGGGGGTTGTAGGACAGCGTGTGTGTGGAGAACGTGAGAGGAGAGCAAGGGACACACAGGAGTGCCCAGGTGGATGAAGGGCCAGATGCATGATTAACAGTGGCCGTCCTCAGGGCACAGCCAACCCATGTCCTGACCCCATGTTTACTAAGAGGGACCTCAGGACCCTCAGCCTTCCTAATGCTTCCTAGTGCTTTAGATTACTGACACAGCGGCCCCTGCTTACCACTGCAGTTATGGCGCCCGCGGCTCTTGGTGTGAGGGACCTCAGTGCCGTTGGGGAACACACACCAGCAGTAGCCAGTGCTCCCGTAGCACTGGAGCGGCATATAGTTGCCGTTCTCATCGCACTTGGGACGGAACGCACCCGGATGGACATCAGGGATGTGGCTGACCTCTTCCTGGCACTTGGTCAGCCCTGAAGCTACAGGCATGATGAAGACAGTGAGTGAGTGGGCTCTGGGCCGGGATCTCAGCAGAGCAGAGGCCCACACACCACTGCCATGGGCCTAATGCCTATCCAAGTTACTTTCTCATTCCTCCCTTGGCACAGATGGGGAAACTGAGGCTGGAGGCTGAAACCAGGAAGGTTTCCAAAAAGAAAAAGCATGGCTGGATCATTTGCCTCAAAATGATTACTTCCAGCACTCAGACTTTATTATAGTTGGTGATTATTCCTGTGATTCTGGTTTCTGCAGGACAGTAATGGGCACCTTTGGGAACCTGACCTTCCTGTTAGCTGGATGACCCAAGTAAAAATGGAGGTTGTCATTTGTTGGGGATGCTGGGAAAGGGGATTTAAAAAAATTAGCTAGAAGTTGGTTGAGATCACAGGCGAGCTCTCTTCTGTATCAGAGAAGCAGGTCTAGAGAAGAATGGGCCATTGGCCTTCCATCTGTGGGACAGAGAAGCCCAGTGGGACAGGCTTGTCCAGCTCTCCGGCTCTGCACAGCAAGTTAAGAGACAGCGCCAGGGTTAAAAAAAAATCATTCCCCATGTTTTAGGTCTCCAGCCTCCTGTGTGCCGGTATGACTGGTGAGGTGAGCTGTGCCTAGAGTCCTGGGCATTCGCTGACTCTATGACCCTCTGCTCCTCAAGTGCTGAGGTGTGCTGCTGGGGAGGTGTCCTTCCGAGGACCCATGCCTGGTATGTTTCGAATTGGTTTTGCTCCAAGACAGAGAGACAAGAGGCCTCTATACTCGGCATGTGTGTGAAAGAACAGGCCAACAGACAACGTGTCAGGAACAAACAAGAAGACACAGTGAGCTGAGAGGATGGGGTGCTGCAGCAAGTTTCCTTTAAGAGTGCTGGAGGCCCTAACTTCAGCAGCTCCAGGGGGCCCTGGCATCTAGTACCTTTAGGCGGAGCCTCGGTGGGCTTCTCCTCCAGAGAGTTCTTGCTCATTTCAAACAAGAGCCACTGTTTCATCCAGCTCTCAAAGACCTAATGGGAACAGAGGCAGGCCATCAGGGTCAGGAGTCAACACCGCCCCCTACCGGACTTTACCCTGATGACAAACTTGGAGGATCAGACAGGCCCAACATCTGGAGTCCAGCTGCAGCCTGGGTGCCTCTTGAAGACCCACAGGGGTTTTGTGGATTTCGAATGCCCCCTGTAGCCCAGAGAACAGCTCCCCTGGCCTGCCCACCCCTTGCCACTCTAGTCCTGAGGCTGCCGTGGAAAGAGGTGGACAGAAGCTGCTCACCTTCCAGTCCAGACCATCCATGGAGTTCTTAAGATGCTTCAGGTTTTCCGGAAAGGTTCCCTTCAGCTGTGGGTACATCAGGGGTCCAGACCTCTGCAGATTGGCAGAGCAAGAGGAACGTTACAAAGAACTCCATGATCGGCAAGGGGAAATGGGCACACCATGTGCTGAGGAAGGATGTTCGCAGCAGCAAGCCTGGACCTTGGCTTTGGTGACGGAGAGCAGGGGTATGGGCCACCCAGCTGTGTGGCTCCTGTCAGGGTCCAGATCAACCTTACCAGCACCACTGATTTTCTCCCCACAGATGCCTGCCTGTTTTGAAGGTCTCATCTCCGGAAGACCTGACCACCCCTAGCTAGACTGGGTCCTCTGACTGTCCACATAGCCAGCGCTTGTCCCTCATCACCTGATCACTGGTCTGTTAAAGTTGCTCCCCTGCTGCAGACCGAGAACTGTGTAGTACCCGGACCAGAGCAGGCGTGTGAGATATTAATTTCAGAAGGAGAACGGAATATCATGACAAGTCACATGCAAGACTTGGGCCTTAATTTTTCCACCCCAAAAGTGACAAAGCTAGAGCCTGGTGTAATGACACACGCCTTTAAACCCAAAACTCAGTGGGCAGAAGCAGGCGTGTCTCTTTGAGTGCAAGGCCAACGTGGTCTACATAGCACAGCCAGTTCCAGGGCTACACAGACACTTGTCTGAAGATGGGAATTGGGTTGGACTGGATGCAGTATTTAATGACCACCTTCTATTCCCTGGGGTGAGCAGTGCTGAGTTTATAGTGAGCCTAGCATGTGAGCGGGGGTCGGGGTCCCACGTGGAACGGGACCGTCCACCGGCTCTGACACTCACCAGGAGCAGGTGCATCACGTGGTCCTGCGTCATGTTGCCGTACTTAGTAACATTCTGCACAGGCTGTGGGAAGAGGAAAAGGGTTAGCAGCACTGGCTGAGAAGCGGGAAGGGCAGGGAGGGGAGAACACAGCGGCTGGAGTCTAGAGAGAATCAAGTCCCTGCGCTCACCAGCTCAGCTCTGTCACCTCCTGACATGGGAGCTCCAGCTATTCACCCCCTTTCTGCCTCCATGTCCCCACTGGTCAGGCTGGCATAAGCTTTAAGATTATAATTTAATCACCACGTTTCTCCCTTTCCTTTTCTCCCTCCAATCTCTCCCTATGCCCCTCCCTGCTCTCCTTCAAATTCATGGCCTCTCTTTTATTTACTGTTATTGCTTGAGTATATGTTTATGTATATACTATATTTCCTAATTATAGTCTAGTTCATATAATGCTACCAATTGGCATGCTCTTCCCTGGGGAAAGTACCAATAGTTTTATGAGTAACGCTGCTGTCAGAGGCTTGGAGGAGGCGAGGGACTGTACGATGCTGTGGCGGGTAAGAGTTGTGGGTCTGTCCTCTCCCCATCAGGGTAACCTCCATCACCCTGGCAAGCCTCGCTGAGGTGGCCCCTGCTCCTCCCCAGCAGTTAGGACCTTGCTTCCTGGCCAGCCGTTACTCTATGCCCCTCCACTTTGGCACCTGCTCTCTGCCTAGACCAGCTATACCATTCCCTTCCTGCCACCTTCCTTCCTTACCCCGTGGAGCATGTTTTCCATGGGCAGTGGCCGCATCAGCAAGGGGGTAGCCATCCGCATCTGGCTGACAGGTTTGGCAGCTGTGAGGAGGCAGGGAGAACAGACAGCATGAGTCCAGGTCCAAGGGAGTAGGGGGCCAGGGGTTGAGATCTGGAACCCGGGAATGGGGGGGGAGGGGCTAGATGGAGAAATGGTGGGGCTTGTAAGGCGAGGGACACGCACATTTAGGAAGCTTCATGCGAAGGCTCTCCAGTTGCAGGTTCTGGGAGGTGACGGTCAGTTTGTCTAGACGGCCCTGCTGCTGGTACAGGAAGTAAGCCGTGGTGGCCTGCCCAGCCAAGAGCAGAGCCACCAGGACAGAAAAGCCGGTGTACAGGGCCCCGCGGCTGCACCTGTTGTGAAGAGGGAGTAAAGGTAGGAGCCAGAGTTGGAGGCTGGCTGGGAGTGGGGACATATGGCCTCACCCATGCCCTTTCGGACTTCTGTCAAGCCTTCCCCACTCCCCTGGCCATAGAGGTGTGTGTGAGGACATCCCCTGCCCCCTGCCCCAGCTGACCACCAATGTCCTTTCCGGGAAGAAATTAGATCCACCTGGGGCCCAACTTCTATGGGAAAAAAAATGAGCCAAGTTCCTTGCCTACTCTGGGTTTTTGTGTCCCCTTTGTACAGTGACGGGGTAAAATGGCCTGTCCTGCCTCTTTATTCAGGTTCCCTCTGCCCTGGAGATCCGAGGAGCAGAGCTACCCTCAGGGGAAAACAATTTGGTTTTGTTTGTTTGTTTATGTATTTTAGTTAGCAGGAAAAGATAGGTGCTTTTACTGTGTAAGGGGAAGAAGGGTTTCCATCCTCCCCCCCCCCCGTGTTATCCCCAGCCCCTGCAGTGACGTCAGACTTAAAGAGAAAGGGGACAGCAATGTGGCGTGGACCGCAAAGAGAAGTAGAACCTAGACATCTTACAAGGGGGGGGAGGAGATTATCCAGCTGGAACAGGGCCAGGTGCCACCGCTCCAGGGACACAGCCTGTGTGCCAGTCTCCAGGAATCTCTGGACAAATCTCCACCAGTCTCCTAGCTTTTGTCATGCATCACACGAGTCGTTCTCACCCCAGCAAGTCTAAAATGTGGTTCTTCCCCAACCCGTGGGTGTGGGTGTGGTATGTGTAGTACGTGCGTGTGGTGTTTGTGGTGAGGGGTATGTGTTTGTGGTGAGTGTATGTGGTGTGTATGTATAGTGTGTGGAGTGTGTGAGTGTGTGTGTGTGTGTGTGTTATATATGGTGGAGGGTATGTGTGTGTGTGGTGTGTGTGATGTGTGTGTTATATATGGTGGAGGGTATGTGTGTTGTGGTGTGTGTGGGATGTGTGTAGTGTGTGTGTGTGGTGTGTATATATAGTATATGGGGTGTGTGTATGTTATATGTGGGGGGTATGTGGGGGGGTATGTGGGGGGGTATGTGTTGCACATCCGTATTCATATGGGTGCTCATGTGTACATATATGTAGAGACCAGAGGTTCACTTCGGACGTTTTCCTCAATTGCTCTCCACCTTATGTTTTGAGGCAGGGTCTCTCACTGAACCTGGAGCGCAAAGATTCCACTAGACTGCCTCGTCAACAAACCTAGGGATCCTCTTGTCTCTGCCTCCCCAACACTAGGACTAGCGCTTGTTCTTCAAACGAGTGTTCGAGATTCAAACTCAGGTCCTTGTGCCTGTGTTGCAAGAACTTTCTCAGCTGAGCTGTCTCCCCAGCACAGTTCTCTTTGAGACAGATCTTCCTTTGGCCATAGAAGCACCTTGTAGTGATACCCAATTGGGGGGAATTCAACAGCAACATAGATGGCTAGGCCTGGATGAATGTGTCATGCTCTTGGGTGGCCAGACCCTCAGACCTCAGTGATTGCTTACAGTTTGATGCTTTGACTACTGTCTGGGGGAGGGGGTAGAGAGGAGGTGGGGGGTGGAGAGGGTGCATGCCCGTATTACAGTATGGAACATAAGGATCATAACTCCAGACCTGGAAAGTTCCCATCCATTCTTCCTCCACTTAGCCCTTAGATGGAAAGAACTATCAGTACTCTGCCGATGTTTGAACTTGTCCCCTTTAAAATGACAGGGTTTTGCCAGGCAGTAGTGGCACATGCCTTTAATCACAGCACTTGGGAGGCAGAGGCAGGTGGATGTCTCTGAGTTTGAGGCCAACCTGGTCTACAGAGTGAGTTCCAGATCAGGCTCCAAAACTACAGAGAAACCCTGCCTCAAAAAAAAAAAAAAAAAAAAAAAGGCTTAACAAAAGAAGTTGGGCTCCAACATTTACAGCAAGAAAGTCATCATCAGGTGTCAGCACCTTGATCTTGGACTTCCCAGCCTCCTAACCTGTGGGAAATAAGTCCCTGGACACATATCTCCCAATCTGTATATAGTATATAGTATTTATAGTAATATATATACAGTATATATCTTATATATTAAACATGTATTATAATATGTTATAGTAACTCAGACTAAGACAGACTCCATTTGAAATTGCCATAATCAGTCTTAGTCTTGCCTCCTCCAGCAACCAGGAAGGGAGATTTAGGAAACGCCAGAAGACCTGTCTGCCTAGTAACTTATGATGTCACAGACACAGCTAATTCTCATTAGCTCTCTGCTTGGCTGACTCTCTGTGTTTTCTAAGCCAACAGCTGAGCCAAGGAAGAGTTGTTTTGGAAGGAGAAGGCAAAACCTCTTTGTTGGGGAAGGGAGGTCAGACTAGGAAGGGGAGTACGTTCTCCTTCCTGGCCTTCTGAAGGAAGATGCAGCCTGGGCTCAAGGTCCTCTGCTTTATTATCGACTTGGGTGACTCGCGGAACCCCTGGGCCGCTCTTCAGCCCTGTACTCTGATCTAGTAGACAAGAGCAGGTAGCTGCAACTGGCATCCCAGCTTTTCCACTGGCCTAGCTCTGGGGGGTGTGAGTGAGCAAGCTGACCCTTCTATATGTGAAATGGGTAAAAGCTTGGGATGAGAGGTTGTTAAATAACACAGAGATGGAGGGGGCAGTAGTGATGCACGCCTTTATTCCTAGCACTTGGGAGGCAGAGGAAGTAGGATCCCAGAGTTCGAGGCCAGCTTGGTCTACAGACTGACTTCCAGGGCAATCAGGAGTACAAAGAGAAACCCTGTCTCAAAAAACAAAACAAAACAAAACAAAACCTAAATAAATAAAAATAATATAGAGATGAAACACTTGGCTCCAACACCCAACACATTTACTCTATCAATAATACTTCAAATCTAGCATCTGCCCTCCTTCCTCTTTTATAAAATTTACTGTTATTTTGTTTTTGAGAGATGGACTCATGTAGATAAGGTTGGCCTTATACTCCTGATCCTCCTGCCTCCACTTCTCAAATGCTGAGATTATAGGCTTGCACAATCACACTCAGCCTCTTTGTCTCTAGATCGTCTGGCCCTTGGTTTTGATTGAGTGCCAACTCTGTCACCTTCTGGTTTTACTTCCTCCTTTGTACTTCCTTCTTATGTAATTAAGAAAAAAAAAAGTAACTGACTAAAGTCAGAAGCCAATCAGAATTATCAGGAATCATGACACAGATGTTGCCAGGCAGAAGTGTTCACGGAAAATGCCCCAAGTCAAACCCTGCCTGGAATGGCCTGAGAGCTTAAGCCACCATCTCTGAACACAGCCCTCCCTGAGTGGCCTAAGGTCAGGGGGCTCCCACCTCCCCTCTCCACAAATGAGGCCTCTAAAGGACCCACATAGGAGAACAAGCTCAGATGAGTCACGGTTCAAATGCTCTATCCAACACTCACTAGCTGAGACAACCTGTAAGTTTACTTACCAGAATGGATGGATTCAGATTCCTTTTGTGTAAAAATGGGGGAAATGCTGGCCATGGTGGCACACATCTTTAATCCTAACACTTGGGAGGTAAGCAAATATCTATTAGTTTAAGGCCAGCCTGGGCTACACTGTGAGTTCCACCCAAAGCTACATAAGAAAAAGAAAAGAAAAAAGAGCAGGCGGTGGTAGCACACACCATTAATCCCAGCACTCGGGAGGCAGAGGCAGGTGGATCGTTATGAATTCAAGGCCAGCCTGGTCTACAGAGTGAGTTTCAGGACAGGCTCCAAAGCTACGGAGAAGCCCTGTCTCGAAGAAAAAAGAAAAAGACAAGGGCAGGGGGAAATAATAGAAAAGGCCAACTCCTAGCTACAGCAAGCATCTGTAAGAATGAAGGTAGTGTCTGTAGCTTGATTATGATTCTGATGGCGGTCAGTGGCATCAGAGATTGCTGAAGAGCGTACAGTAGGTGGACTGTACCTGTTGCCATTAAGTGGAGACCCAGAAAGAGGCTGTGACCTTTCTGTGGTCATCGATGACAGCAGTGAAAGTTGCCTTGGAAGTCCCCACTGCTCTCCTGCTCTATATCTGGTTACCTTCTTTCCAGAACACAATTCCCCTACAGTCTCTCAGAGGCTCTCTCAGAACCCCTTCTGCCTGGAAACAGCTGACGTCACTTCTGCTTTTGATTCCCCCATAGACAGCAAGCAAATCAGGTTTGAGAGCTTGGGGTGGGGGAAGGAGCACAAGAGGGCAGGTGAATTCTAGTCCTGTTTGGGTTTTTGGAAGGTGGAGGGCACAAGAATGAGGTCATCCGGGGTCTGGGAGAGGAACCCGGGGCTACGTGGATGGGTGGGGCAGCCTCTTGATGCAGATCCAGGAAGAGATTCGCAGATGGGTCTGACCCCGCTACAGCTCTGAGCCCCTGCCACTCATGTAACAGGTGCTCCTTCTCTTTGGCAGCCGCTGAGATGGCAGCCAGCGTCCACACACAAAGAAAGTCTAATCCTGTTTCAGGTATGGATGCGGATATGGCCAGACTGATTATCTAGGCTCCTACAAGCCTTCTGGCCAATAAGGAAAGACTAAGTTGCTTCTGTTGCCCTCAGAAATGGTATCTCCACTGGCATCGGAACTTTTCCAAAATCTGAGGCTACGAAAGCAGACAGATCTATTGAGGAAAAGTGAGAACTCATCCGAGGGAGGAACACTATGGTCTTACGTCTCAGCCTAGAGTCATGGCCCAGCTGCATAAGGGTCGGTGAAACTCTGAGGCGTGAACCCAGGGCTCTCTTAACACTTACACATCCTCAAGGAGCCCCTCGGTTTACAGATGGGGAAGTCAATACTCTTAGCAGGTGGGAGCTGGGGGGACGGGGTCAAGAATACTCAGAGCCAGGTGTGATGGTGCACTCCTTTAATCCCAGAACTTGGGAGGCAGAGGCAAGTGGATCTCTATGAGTTCGAGGCCAGCCTGGTCTACAGAGTGAGTTTTCATTATGTAGAAATCCAGGGCTATAGAGAGAGAGACCCTGCCTTACATATATGTTTATATGTCAAAAAGTCAGTGCTTAAAAGGCAGCCTTCCCGCAACTCAATGCCATGTCCCTTCCCAGACCCACATTCTGTGCCCTCCAGAACTGAGGGCTCCCCGCTGGTACTCACGCATACCTTTCTGGGGCTCTAGGGCGCTGGCCCAGCATAGGCAGCTGCTCATGGTTGGAGATGAGGTCGCGCTGGTCATCCATGGCCTCTAGTCTTCTCGACAGGTGCTGCTGCTGCTGCTGCTGCTGCTGCTGTTGCTGCTGCCGCCGCTCCTCCTCTTCGTCTGGGACCCTTGAGCCCCAGGATCACCTCTTGAAGCTGGTGCTGGGAGGAACCTGATTCGTCCACAGCAGGTCACTCCGCCCACGTGGTAGATGTGGAAGTGAAAGCCACAAATCTGGAAATACCCCACTCACTCAAAGCTGCCCTCCCTGGGCAGGATGAGGGGGAGTTCCCTAACCAGGTAGAAGCCCGGCGCGATCTTATTGGCTGGCCAAGGCTCTTGTCGCTTGTTTCTAGGCAGACCTCTGGATTCATTAGGCTCCTTGGATGCTTCTAGAAACAGGCAGTCTCCCTAGACAAGAAATCGTTTTGAAGCAGAAAGTGCCTTTGTTTACCCACCGTATCCATGATAAGTGAGGGAAGAAAGGGGCTCAGGCAAGTCGCCTTCTCTCTGATGTGCATGTCCCCTCCAAAGTGGAGATGAAGGTTGGACTGGTGTCCCCTCTGCTTCTATCCACCCCGTGCCATGGTGTGAAGGCTCTCAGCTGACACTTGCCATCACAGCCATCTTTGTGAGGTACCGTGATCGAATCATAGCTGGCCATAGGATCTTTGCAGTGCCTTAGACAAGTGTTCTGTCCCCCGTGTTTTGGGTGGAGACCATGATGCAGAGAGGCTGTGTGTGCCTAGCCTCATACATGCAGGCAGGGATGGATGGAGCCCAGATTCTGTCCCACTCTCTTCTGCCTCCCAGGGCTCAGATTATGTGTGCCAGTGTGACAAGGAGCAGGGAAAGGGAGGCTCAAAGGGGGTGCCATGGAGACTTAGCTGTACAGGCAAGTGTTTAGCAACCACATCTGTGCCTATACTGTAAGTACATAGGAAGCAAGATCTTTAGCCCTGTTCTTGGTCTCTGTCAAAAGAACCACTAAGGCCTTGGGGTCGAGAGTGCTAAGGACTTTTTGTTGTTTTAGAGAGGGTCTCGTGTAGCCCAGGCTGGCATCAAACTCACTATGTGGCTAATGATGAACTTGGGATCCTCCTGCCGCCACCTCCTGAGTTACACACGTGCCCCGCCACATCACATCTGCATGGTGCTGAGGACCGTGGAGCAGAGTGGGGAGGACTGTGGAGCAGAGTGGGTAGAAAATGCCAGTTATTATCCTCAGATGCTAGTTTATCGGTTTATCAGTGATTTAGGTAAAGCACTGCTTGCTCTGCCTGTTTGCCAAAAGTGACTTCCCTTGCTACCTGAAACAGAAAGACTTAGAGAAATAGCTGGAACCGTGGGTCTTTGCCCCTAACAACCTGCTGACTGTCACATACGGTTCTGTAAAGTCTTATTTGCTTGCTTGCCCAACCCACCGAATGGTTCTAGAGTATAAAACGAGAATACAAACGGGACCCGGTATCAAAGGCTTTCGGGAGCTGTCCCTTCTGGCTTTGGTCCACTGCGTCGTCCCCGCTCCTCTCCTCTCGTTTGTGTTTCAGTGCTTGTGCTGGAAAGATTCCCGCAACAATTAAATCCAGGGCTTCTTGCACGATAGATAAACGCTCTGACCTACATCCCCAGCGCAATTTCGTTTTTTCTTTTTTTTTAAATATTTATTTATTTATTATGTATACAATATTCTGTCTGTGTGTATGCCCACAGGCCAGAGGAGGGCACCAGACCCCATTACAGATGGTTGTGAGCCACCATGTGGTTGCTGGGAATTGAACTCAGGACCTCTGGAAGAGCAGGCAAATGCTCTTAACCTCTGAGCCATCTCTCCAGCCCCCGCAATTTCGTTTTTTCAAGACAGGGTATATTTTATATGTTAATTAGGATGAAGGCTTTGCTGCCAGAGGAACCAAACGTTTGATGAGAGGACGAGAGCTTGAAATCTGTTCAGAGGGGAGAAGGATAAAGATTGAGCATAATCACATTGACAAATAACTCAACCATATCTTCAGAAGCAGAACGTCCATAAAAATCTAGTGGACAGGGTCTGAATAGCTGCCATACTTCAAGGCAGTGGCACATTCAACACTAAAACAGACAATGCTGTGCCAGGGACCCACCTCACATACCTCACGCCATGTATCTCTGTGTCTCTCTGTGTCTCTCTGTGTCTCTGTCTCTCTTTGTCTCTCTGTCTCTCTCTCTCTCTCTGTCTCTCTCTCTCTCTCTAGGTTTTTCAAGACAGTGTTTCTCTGTAACTTTGGAGCCTGTGTCCTGAAACTAGCTCTTGTAGACCAGCCTGGAGAGATCCTCCTGCCTCTGCCTCCCAAGTGCTGAGATTAAAGGCGTGCGCCACCATCGCCTGACACCATGTATCTTTTACCTCTTCATCTGGCTCTCCTAGAATAAACTGGAAAATAGAGTGTTTCCCTGGGTGCCCCCCCTTTTTTGTTCTGTGATGGCTTGAATGAGTGAGGGGAGAGAAAGGCCCCCATGGGCTCATAGATTTGAATGCTTAGTCACCAGAGAGTGGAACTCTTTGAGAAGGATTAGGAGGTGTGACCTTGTTGGAATAGGTGTTCACTCAAGGTGAGCTTCGAGGTCTCAAAAGCCCACAGCAGGTCCAGTCTCTCTCTGTCTGCTGCCTTCAGATGAGGATACAAAGCCCTCAGCTACTGCTCCAGCACCATGCCTGTCTGCTTTTCGCCATGAAGATTGCGGACTAACCCTCTGAAACTGTAACCTAGCCTCCAATTAAATGCTTTCTTTTTTAAGAGTCGCCTCTTTTGAGGTGTTTTTCACAGCAATGAAACAGTAATTAAGACACAGTTTGAATCTAAATTGTTCCCCATGGGCTCTTGTTTGAGGGCTTATTCCCTGGCTTGTGACTCTATTCTGAAGGCTGTGGAACTTTTAGAAATTGGGACCTAGCTGTTAGAAATAGAACACTACAGGGTGGCTTTTGAAGGTTCTACATGCTCCTAATTGGGCCTTCTCTCTCCGATTCCTAATCTAATGTGAATAGCCACTGTCCCCCACCCCGACTGTCATGCCTGAGCCATTGGGTTCCACCTTCCCCGTTATGATGAACTACAACTTTTTGACCATGGACCAAAATGAATCTTTCCTTCCACAGATAGTTTCTGGGTTACAGTGACCCAAAAGAGACTAATTCATTCTTCCCATAAAGCAGACTGAAAGTCTCCTCCCCTGACACAGCAAGGCACATGCACACTCTGATGCCGAGAATCTGTCTTCTGTGGAGAGAATGCCGGGATTTAGGCTTTCTTCCTCCAGGTCATAGACTGAAGGAAGCTTCTTTGGGGGCCATGACCATCACAGGGGAAAACATTTTAAGAGTCTGGAAATGGTCCTCAATAGGGCAGCCCAGTCAGATAACTCAATGCAGGCCATTCTCTGAATAAGCCAAGCCCCACTCGTGGGCCAGCCTCTGCTTCAGAAAATCGAGGGTCATGAGACATCCAAAGAAATGCATCAGCGTAGAAGAAGCAAGTATAACAGTCACAGGTGGGGGAAACAGAAGGAAGAAAGAAACTCGTCAGCCTCCCAATGTGGTGAAGGATGGAGCTGCATCTAGAATCAAAAAGAGACTCCTAAGAAGTGTGAGTGCTCCTGGAGAGATTAAAAAGAACTCTAAAAAATTAAAAATAGAAGCTTGGCAGTGGTGGCACACACTTTAATCCCAGCACTTGGGAGGCAGAGGCAGGTGGATCTCTGAGTTTGAGACCAGCCTGGTCTACAGAGTGAGTTCCACAACAGCCAGGGACAGGGATGCACAGAGAAACCCTGCCTTGAAAAACAAAATTAATGACTAATTTAGGAAGGCAAATAACCAAATGCCAGAGTTCTAGAAACAGAGAACAGAAAAAAAATAGAGGGGGAATAAATTACCAGTGAAGTAATTTACTACAATTCCCAGAAGTCAAGGACATGAATTTCCAAACTGAAAGGACCCAGTAGGTACCAAGGACAAGATAAAAAGTAATTTTATGATGGTGATGCATGCCTTTAATCCCAGCACTCTAAAAAGAACTCTTAAAAAATTAAAAATAGAAGCTTGGCAGTGGTGGTACACACTTTAATCCCAGCACTTGGGAGGCAGAGGCAGGCAGATCTCTGTGAGTTCAAGGCCAGCCTGGTCTACAAGAGCTAGTTCCAGGACAGGCTCCAAAGCTACAGAGAAACCCTGTCTCGAAAAACAAACAAAAAAGTAATTTCACATCAAGGCATACACCATGAAGTTCAAAAAAGTAAACACTAAGGATATTTTGCAAATTTTCAGAAAGAGAAAATAAGACATACTCAAAGATTCTGATATCAAAATGCCCCCCCCTTTTTTTTTCTTAGACAGGGTTTCTCTGTAATAGCTCTGACTGTCCTGGAACTAGCTCTGTAGACCAGATTGACCTCGAACTCAGAGATCCTCCTGCTTCTGCCTCCCAAGAGCTGGGATTAAAGGTGAGAGCCACCACTGCCTGGTCTCAAAACACTTTTACGCTTCTTAATCATGCCTCTGGAAACCACAGATGATGGAGTAATGCCTTCGAAATCCTATAAGAAAACTCATTTCCATCCTAAAGTCTTCACTGAGGCAAATCATCACAGAGATGATATTAGTTTCTCATTATAGCGATGAAAATACCTGATAAAAGTAACTGAAGAGCCGGGCGGTGGTGGCACACGCCTTTAATCCCAGCACTTGGGAGGCATAGGCGGCGGATCTCTGTGAGTTCGAGGCCAGCCTGGTCTACAAAAGCTAGTTCCAGGACAGGAACCAAAAGCTACGGCGAAACCCTGTCTCGAAAAAATCAAAAAAAAAAAAAAAAAAAAAAAAGGTAATAGGGCCGGGGAGAGGGCTAGAGGTTAAGAGCACCGGCAGGGGGATCTCTGTGAGTTGGAGGCCAGCCTGATCTACATTGAGTTCTAGGACAGCCAGGATTACACAGAAAAACCCTGACTCTAAAAACAAAACAAACAAACAAAAGGCTATCCAGAAAATGCCTAAAGTGAAAAATTCAGGACGAAACAGTACCAGAATGTTTTCAGAGCCACGGGATAAATAACCAAAGGGAGGTGCTGAGCATGGGAAGGCTGTGTGGAAAGCCAGCAAGGGCCCACTATTATCACAGGAAACTTTAGGCTTATGGAAG